GTTTCAGACTAGAAACCCCGCGAATATACTGAGACACTTCGGTAGCCAATCAGATTTGCCGACATAAACATTATCGAGATCAAGGAAGTAGACGATTTGAAAATTCTTCGGAAAATCATGTTTTATCACTTCTACGCTGCAGTAAAAGTTACCTGATGGTGGTGTAGAATCTTTGCGTCCCAGGGACGTAAGTTATTTCTGATTTTTTCGTCAGACCTCTTGAGATTTCCGTAAAAACGAGAAAAAACGGCGTCAACGCGAACACTGGGCTGTATTTAGCAGTTATGTCCCTATCAATGAATATATGCCTGAGGTCTGTCATCAATATAGCCCGAGCTTGCGAGGTCTATATTTAGACAGACCGAAGGCATATATTCAATGATATGTACATAATTGTTGTATTACATACCTTTATTTCCATGGCTACGTTATATCAATGATGTCACACGTCTGTTTGCGAGTGAAATTTGGAAGAAATAGAATATGACGTCATAAGATTGTCATAGTAAAAAAGTTTGGCGGCTATACAGGAATATATAACCGACCTTCGGCTCCTTTGACTTCCATACAAATGCTTCGCTATGTATGTTATACAGTTCAATAATAATGTTTTTTATATTTGAAAACAATAAATATCATTTGTGCAGAAACAAATGGTGTGTTTTTATTGGTATTTGCTCATGTTTTATTTCAGTTATACTATAACCTCATTTAATGACCTCACCCAACACTCCCAGGATAGCTGTATTGTCAAGTACCAAGGTGTTGTCTTTGCTAGCTGTGCACCCTCTAAGTACACGTAAGTGTTGTCTAAGTATACGTAACTACCCTGTACTGTCTTTGCCACCTTTACACCCTTTAAGGGCACATACGTGTTGGGGTCAAGAACCAAGCTATCCTCTTTGCCTGCCCTAAACCATGCAAGTCATGGACCCTACACCCCCAAAATGCAATCTGATTTTCGACGCTGTTTCGATGCCAAATTTCGGTGCCGTTTTGGCACCTAATGGACTGACTAGTCCGGTAGCAAATTTTGGTGTCAAAAGGTATCGGTGCCGGTGTGAAAGAAACGATGGTCCCCCAGGGATTATGGTCCCCTTTCTTAACGGCCCTTACTGGCCCTGGTTGCGTATAAGATAATGAGGGAAAGAGTAGTATTGAGGTCACCATATAAATCAATGGAGAGTAGGACCATAATTTGATAGGACCTCCTACCCTTTTACACCGGAACGGTGTTGAAACGGTGCCGGAACAGTGCCGAATTTCTACAATACTGAAACGGCGTCGAATTATATTGGCTGTGTACATGTTGTACAAATCGAGTTGAAGAACCTGTGACCTGTGTCACATTTTATATGTCTCTGTATTTAACTCTAAATGTTTCTCTTTTGAACATACATCATTACTTGTGTCTCTTTGTACACAGGCTGAGTGCCAGATACAAGTGCACTATGGAGACTTGTAAAGGAGCTGAAGGCAATAGATACATAAGGATGTATGTTCCAGGGGCCAAAGAGGCACAAACTGTCAGGTGAGACAAGGATTGATACAATCGATGGGGACCATTTTTAATGAAAAATGTCATATTTATGGTTAGAAAATACTTATGGTTAAAGATACAATGGTCTAAAATCACTTGCCATACAAAACATGGTTGCCCCGTATGGTTTTTAATGTAATTCTGTTTTCAGGAAGGATTTTAACTGCTCATATTGCAAGATTTCATTAAAGGAAGATGCCTCATGCAGGGTTTTATCTGGTACAATGGTCAACCTTTCAAAGAGAAGCGTTCAATAATTCATGTTCTTTTGTTTCTATTAGAGTTTTTGTTTTTGTTTTACTTTAGAATTGTATTAATTAAACAGCACATGGTTCAATGGTTCATCAAATGGCACATGGATGAATGTACAAAAATCGGTCATATTTAGAACTACAATTATTATGTCCTGCTATCGTTGCATAGTTGCATCAAGCCAATAATCCTAGCTGTCGAAATATAAATGAGAAAACAGTAAAATAAACCCTGGTAAAATTTCATTGTTTTATGACATTACATAAGTAGAAGTAGTGTCATTTATGACACAACATGGGCTTTGTCTTGGAATTTGGGAATGTGTCTAAATATTACATTATATTATTTTTGTATTTCAGACAAACGGTTGGTACATATGCTAGATGAGGGATGTTTTGGCTCTCATGTTGGAAACAGGAAAGAACACACAAGTGGCTCTAAAAGATTCCAAGCAGTGCCTGTATATGTCAGAGGTATTACATTTTGTACTTTCATCCATAAATTCTTTCTAATTTTGTGAAGATTAGAATATAGCACCAACTTGAGCAACACAGAAAACTCTTTCTTATAATAATGTATTTGGTTATTTGTTTTTATGTGTATTTTTGTTATTGAAATATTACCCCTTGTGCTTTCCACTGACTTTATTGACAATCTCTTTACATTTAACAGATGACTTGGTGAATACAATCCAGATAGGAAAATCCTACTGCATCATTGGTACAGTGTCATATGAGTTTGAGGCAGGTACTTTGTCTGTAGCACTTGAGGCCAACAATGTGCTACCAATTGATGTAAGTTAAAAGGTTTGTGAAATGTTATTACATGTTACTGTGTAAGGAAATATTAAGAGTACTGTATTCCATTCGAGAATAGTATTAACTTTATACATTTTTGTTAGAGCCTGGTGTACAATGAAGTTTAATAAGACATGTTAGAAGAAAAGTAATCTTTCTATTTAAATTGATTTCCAGAATTCATTGATGTCATTTCCTTCAAGCAGGCTTTTCCCAACAGGTATACAGCAACTATTTGAAGGTAAGTCAATTGTATGGTTTAGCCATGTTTGGCAATATGGGAAGAAACATTAAAAGAGCTTGATTTTCAATTAGCTTTGGGGAATAACACATGAATGTGGATTATTTATGACTTAAATCATTTGATGTCATATACCGTATTAAAACAACAGCGTTTTAACCATTTCATCTTCGAATTAAAAGCACTATACAATCTAATGAAATATCTTGAACTTGGGACTTACATTGTAGTTGAATTAATTCCATTGCTGTGACTGACTAAAACTGTCCAATCTTAAAGACAAACAAGGTCTACATAGTGAGCTCACATCCAATCAGACTTCTGAACTATTATACAGGACTCTTTTTTAGGTATTCACATGTACATTAAGATGTTCAATTACACATGTTTCACTGTATATTGTTTGGTTTTATACACAGCAAGGAGTCCTTGGAGTTTTGCCATGAGCTTGGCATATGCATTTGCAGGTAAATCTAGATAACTTGATAACTATAGCTCACTCATTTCAAACAAGATGGTATTATTGTGATTCGAGAGTTTATATGCTATTGAATAATCCTTTGAATAAAGAAATTACCTCAAAATATCTGTAAGGGACTTAAAAAAGTTCAGATGTATGGTTTTCTATTGATTGTTCAATTTTATTAATAGCCATCAAGAATTGATAATAAGTGATATATTGTGATACACCATTTCTTTTGTAATATTGGAATGTGTTTGAGTTAGACACTGGCCTCTGTAACAAATGGTCACACTTTAATATATTTTGTTCATGTTTGTAGGAAGTATCTGCCCCCCTGGTACATATCTCCACCTGAAACTGGGACTACTTCTCAGCCTGGTTGGATGCCAAGAGGAGGTATGATTATTTCACAGTTTATTATGTCACCATCACAAGTGGTGACATATTTTTATAATCTCCAACCTTTTTGTTGACAGTATCTTTTTTGTTGACATTCAGTGGTTGGTACGATTATTTCACTTGTAGTGGTGACATATAATAGTCTATTTTATAGTCTCCCACCTTTTTGTGGACATTGTTCTCTAACTGTGACGTCATTATATCCATGGTTACAACAATTGATTTACAAATTCGTAACTTTACGAAGTTTCTATTCATGACCCCCTGGTATTTAAAGTTTGAACTTGAATATTCTCTATGTGATAAATACAACATTTGTATTTTAGTGTTCAAGACTGGATGTTCTAGCTATAGGAGAAGACAGTATTGTATTGGACAGACTGCTTTCATATTGTGCAAGGTTAGCACCTAGATGTGTACATCACACCACAGGGCAACATTTAGTTGTGTCTGTTAGTAAAGACAAAACAGGAAAGGGATACATTATTGAAGGTAAGCCAACTGATACCAGTTATTAGCAATGCAATCATGCTTTGTTCTTTGAAGGTTTGAACAACTGAATCTTGTTTTAAACAGCGGGGGAGATTAGGTTATCATAAAGTTTTTTATGTATGTATTTATCTTGTTTTTTTTTAAATTTTTTTATTAAGACCTGTTCTCTTACACAACCAATCCACTTTCCAAGTGGAATCCAGGGAAACGATTGATTAAATGTGGACCCACATGAACTCCTTAATCCGGATGGATCCAGATGAAAGAGCCAAGTCAGATCTAGAATGGTCAACATTTTCTGAGTGATCAAAATAAATACATGAAAATAACCAAAACCTCATAAACCTCTTTTGACATGATTTCTCTTGAACAACATGAAAAATTAATGTGTCTTGTAGAAATTGGTGAAAGGCAGAAAGTTGGCTTTCATCACTCTGTCACTTCTCTACATTTCACATTATAGATCCTGACATTCTCATTGTTTCGGTATGTGTGTTCAGGGAAGAGGAGTATGATGCCAAACTGAGTAAGATATTATCTATATTCTTTTTTCCTTGAAGGTGGTTCATTGATGCTAGCTAATGGAGGTGTATGTTGTGTAGGAGATGTAAATGGACTAAAACGCCCCGCCAGGCAAACATTGCAGACAGGTAAGTACTGTTAGCTTCATTGACATATTTTGATTGTTCAGTTGTTGTGGCTCCTTTATTACACATGTATTTGGTTACGTTATATTCAAATATGGAATAGGGTGAAGTGATTAGTCAAATCCAAACAGGGATGAGCTGGCCAAATATTTGGTATGAGAATTTACTGTTTGTTTCAATTGTACATACTTTTATTTTCATTTTCCTCATTTTACACTAGAACAGCATAAGTTTCTAACAGCCGTTTCTAACAGCCTATGACATCAAATCTCATTGAGATATGGTTCTTCCAAACTGTTGGATTGATGCGTACATATCTTGCCTTCACACTCTTAAACATGTTAAGTACTGGGGTGACTCTATCACTGTTTCCTTGGAAACGCTGAAATGGATATAGAAGACAAGTTGTATTTTCAGTTTGACCTGTATATACGAGGGTTGTCCCAGAAGTAATGCACTATATGCTCTATACTTTATTTAATATTTTTCAATTCAGCTGAAATTTTGTGTATATAACAATTGAAGTTTTATCTATTATGTCCTGAAGTTTCAGCATCAAACATTTATATTAAGTCTTAATATGGTTGCTATAACAACATGGGGGTAGGGGTGGGCGGGGCAGGTGCCAATTTTTCTAATTATGAAAAGATCTAACGTGTTATTTTATTAATATTTCTTTTCTTTGAATGATCAAAATATTTGGGAAATTGTTAAATTTATTCAGCATGTTGTTAACCAAGTACAAATAATGACATTAAGCACTGTGATGTCATAATACCACATTTCAATAGTCACGTTCAAATACAGTGACAGTCAAGAAATTGCAAACATGGCTGCAATTCTCACCTGATACCAGAAGGCCTTGCCTAATTTCATACTTCACTTGGACTCACACCCATGCAAAACAATACTACCATGAAGAAAGTATATAAGGAGTATATACCAGATAGAACTACAATTATGGGGTGGCAGAAGAGATTTAAAAGAGACGAATTGACCCTGGATGACAATTCCAAACATGGGAGGCAAATATTCCACAAGTCACAGTGGAAGAAATTGCCAAGAGTGTTTGACCTGAAAGGCATCAAAAGTACATAACATGCAAAGGGCAATATTTTGAGAAAATGTGAAATGGGACACTGGGCAATATACATCCATTAAATCTAGGATGTGCTCATAGTAATTTAGTATCTTAAAATGTATTTTTGAACATACTTCTTATAGCTACACAAAATGGTATCTGTTGATTAATTATTTCATATTTTCAATTTTTATCGTACCTAATAAAGGTACGATATTGTAGTCAGCTTGGCGGGCGGGCGGGCGGCGTCTCACTTTTCAGCTTGTCTACAGGTTTCCAGCCAAACCATTTGACAGATTCATCTGAAATTTCCAGGAATGTTTCTACGTATCAAAGTTAAGAACTGATTAGTTTTTGGGCATTCTGGGTAAATTTTAAGGTGGCCATTTTGGATTTTCCGACCTAAAATCTTCACTTTCAAGACTTGTCTACAGGTTTCCAGCCAAACCATTTGACGGATTCATCTGAAATTTTCAGGGATGTTTCTACGTATCAAAGTTAAGAACTGATTAGTTTTTGATCATTCTGGGTAAAATTTAAGGTGGCCATTTTGGATTTTCCGTCCTAAAATCTTCACTTTCAAGACTTGTCTACAGGTTTCCAGCCAAACCATTTGACGGATTCATTTGAAATTTACAGGGATGTTTCTACATATCAAAGTTAACAACTGATTAGTTTTTGGGCATTCTGGGTTAATCTTAAGGTGGCCATTTTGGATTTTCCGTCCTAAAATCTTCACTTTCAAGACTTGTCTACAGGTTTCCAGCCAAACCATTTGATGGATTCATCTGAAATTTTCAGGGATGTTTCTACGTATCAAAGTTAAGAACTGATTAGTTTTTGGGCATTCTGGGTAAATTTTAAGGTGGCCATTTTGGATTTTCCGTCCTAAATTCTTCACTGTCACACTGCTGTGTTTTAGGTACGATATTGTTCACGTCTGTGCCTTTTTTATTCCTTTTGACGTGACTGTATAACCTGCCCCGCCCTACCCAAACTCACCAACTTGATTTTTTTATTATAACATCAATATAGTTTTATCAGTAAACATGAACATTTTTTGAATAATCAAAATGTCTCTAAGGAACATTTACTGAAAATTTCATGGAAAAATATCAATTATTGATAAAGTTAGAGCATATAGTGCATTACTTCTGGGACAACCCTCGTATTCAAGAATCTGAAGACTTACACAAAAGTACGCTTATTAACTTATTCTGTCACCTTTTCTAATTTTTTTGTTGCCTCAGCGAAATACACTAGGTGCATGCCAGGTGTAATCAATGCAATACATGAAATGTCCAGTCCTGGATAACCAAATACATCCCTTCAATGATAAGGACACTACTTAATCTAGCATTGCACTTAATACATGTATTGGTTATTCATTATATTGACACTTTGCTTTACCTCTTGTATACGTTCAAAAGGCATATTAGCATAAGTTCTGTAAAGTATTCTGTATTCTGATACCCACTGGTCAGCTGCTGGTGTGGGCTTACCAAGTATATTTCTTCCTTGTGTTATGACTCCACTAACTGTCATCACTTTCCCAAGGTCAGCTTGAATCCACTGGTTGCTATCTTTAACACTAGCAACCCAGCTCCCTCTTTGTGTTTCACCAGGACTATGAAAATACAATGATTTCCTCGGATTGATATGTTTTTAAATGCTATCTATATGTTATTATAAGTCATAGACAAAGAAAATGTTTGAATTATTCAATGTATTTATGACATCTTCTACAGGTGGATGCATCTCTTTAATGTGACATAACAAAAATGCTGATCCAATTGCTTTATTTTCCCAGCAAGGGATAAAATAAAACAGTTCATTCTTCCATCCAAATTGTTCTGCGATCTATTAGTGTGTCTGAGCAATAACTCAAATACCAGTCATTTGATTTGAGTCAAATTTCATAGGATTATACCTTAATGGAATAGAAACTCTGTATGAGAAGGAATTTTCATTACGATTCATAATGTTTGTGGTCAAGGGAACAGAATTTGCAATGAGGCCACTATATTCAAAATGGCCGCTGTGTTCATGTAATTTCTTACATATCCTGGGTGCCTAGTCTCGCTCTGTCTGGTCCATATCCAAATTCATATACTGTTGAAGCTGTCAGCCATGAGTCTGGAATTCTGTGAGATGACCCAGTAACCAATAATTTACCAATGCATTCATCTAGAAATTGTGAAGATTTTATTTTATTTTCTAGATATACTACTCATACAATATTACAATGAATCACATTCCAGAATTTAGAAATCCCCAACAGTAGCAGAAATGCAGTGTGAAATGTTGGAAGCAATGTTGTCCGTCTGTCTGCCCGTCCATCTGTCCATCCGTCCTTCATTATCCCTCTGAATGAAGTTCAATCATTTGTCACAGAGATCAAATACCCAGTCACAGATTTGGCTAATATTATAGGCTTTTTACAGACCTATCATTGTACAAATTATGTACAACCTTATTAGTAAAATATTTTGTTTCTGTTTGATACCTTTCTCCAGTTTGAAAAAAGTGATGAAGCATGTGCAAAAATAACATTATATTGTCAGTATAATGTTTTCCTTTGTTTTCATATAGATATTACATTACCATGGGAATGGGAGTCTTTAGTATGTAAGTCAATAAGCTTCTTTAGATCATCAATATCTGTCTTCATCTTAGTCACATCCTTCTTTATTGTTCCACAGCATTGATTTGCTCCACTTACTGAAAATGGATATATTATATGAAGTCCAGGTGATTTTGATAGGTAAATTTATTTTTGTGGTCATCCATTGCCTCATACATATATGTGTAATCAATACATATCAGTATATAAAATTATGTCTTGAAATGATGTAAGATTTGTTTCACATGTCATTGTAAAAGTCAGCTTATAGTAAAAAAGAAGTCAATGAGTTTGTAAAACTAAATCTCAATGAAATGCAGGGAAGATTCACAATAATTAATCCTGTAAAATGATTTTAATGCTAAGACAGACAGTGTTCAAGAAGTAAAGTACGCGCAAAATGACAATAGAAACCCCCATGTTAAGAAATTGATAATGACGATAGTAATATTGGAGACAAAAATATCTTACCTTCCTGTGAAATATTAAAAGTTTCCCTATAAAACCAGAATTGATATTTATTGGTTGATATGTTTATTGGTTGCTGTTTTTCTGTTTCTTGTGATCAGAATGATATATCGGATGTAGTGCCATACCTTCAATCGAATAGAATGCTGGGATCAACAGAATAAATAACATCAGTATAGTTTCCATGGCTCCCTGTTCCACCTTGGATTTCTTCCTGTTGTCTGGTTGTTCTTGCTTCAGCTTTCACCTTATGCGAGTGGTAACTCGTGTTTTTAACATATCAAGTACAGTCGACACTCTGATGGCTCTGATTGGCTAGTAGTTACAATACATTGTTAAAATTAGATAAATCCAGAATGCCAATCATATCAGCAGCATTTTTCCTCACCCTCACCATGCATGTTATTTAATGTTTGAAGTCAATTGTAGAACATAGAGAGGCAATGTCAGCCATGTAGCCATGTGACATAGATGCCATTGCCTCCCTGTCCTCTAAATGAAATTATCAAATCCAATTTCCACTTTGATTTCTACTGCTACACTGGATACTACCAGGTGCAGCAATAGAAATGTAGATACTGTGCTCTCTCTAATGAGCGCACATGCAACTTTTATGTTGAGTATGGTCTAAAATAAAAAGTATGAAGTTTAATGCATTGGTTTTGATTATTAACACAAGATATCGATTGATGATAATATTTAATTCAGAGAAAGAAATACAGAAACAGTAGAGTATGTAAACTTTAATGATATCAACTAAAAAGATTATCTAAATAATAATGTGTGCTTATTGGAATCTCTCAATATCTTTTCCTTTTACATTTATATTTGGAAACCACACTTTGCGCTCATTAGAGAGAATACAGTATAACCATGCAGGGGGTAAAAGCTTATTAGAAGTAAATCCATCGGTTGTTTTTATTGTACCTAAAAAAGGTACAATATTGTCAGCTTGGCGGGTGGACAGCATCTCACTTTTCTTGTCATCACGATTCCAAGAAGAGCATACTCATCAAAATTACACTTCTTCAAATTTTTACACATGTTACATGGTAAGAAGTTCTAGAGCTAATTAACTTTTCAGTAGCCATCTTGCTTTCTGGGAGTAGTTTTGGAAGTTTTTGATAAATGTTGTCATCGCGATTCCAGGAATTACTTCAAATTTTTACACATGTTAATGGTAAGAAGTTCTAGAGCTAATTAACTTTTCAGTGGCCATCTTGCTTTCTGGCAGTCGTTTTGGAAGTTTTTGATAAATCTTGTCATCGCGATTCCAACAACAATTTTGGTTTTCAGTCAAGGGGATGTGATCGTGGCATAAGCAACCCAAAAAGATTAAGATTTGTTTTGAATTTTACAAAAATTGATGTAACTTCCTTCAAAATTGAGCTAGAAGCTTCAAATAAAAAGCATTTTAAAACTCCTTTCTTCTTCTATCTAAGGGTTATATTGTCATTGGTTATTTGGGGGGCACCCCTCCTTTCTACGCCTATGTACAGCTACAATATTGTTAACCCCATGTTTTGTTTCTGAAATTATTCCATTACAACAAATCTTGATATTCACTGCTGGTGTAGCATAAAATAGAGGAATGAAAATAATTGAATTTATTATGATATTAATAAAAATGGAAATAATTTGAAGCTGGTAAGATAAAAAGATAAAGTTGATAAACTATCACGACTGTAAAGCCATTAGCAATGCAGGCATTATTATACGAAACATAAAATTAGATGATAAAACATTAAAACAAATAATAAAAACAATAGGGCGCCAATATTTTCAATAAAGGGCGCCAACATATCTCTATTTCACATCAGTGTTGCTGAATACAAATTGAATGTTGATAATAAGGCAGACATTTATACTGATCCATACATACATGTACAGTTTCATAATTGCCAACTACTTTTATGGAAACTGTCAAGGGATATACCAGATATGGCTATGCTGTTAACATACACAAGATTAAATTGTATTAGATGTGATTGTGTTTGAAAATATATGTTTTAGTATAGGTTGATGTTTGTGTACATATTTCGCTCTTGTGATTTGTTATATTGATTGGAATATTTATAGAATTGTTCATTTTTTAAATTTTTATTCTATAATATTTTTATACTACATAAATGCAAAAAATTGTATGTGATGTTCATTTGGTGGGAAGTCCAATTTTTTCAGAAAGATGGTAGCCATTTTGAAACTTGTGACCATTAAAATATTTCTCTTTGAAATATTTTTGATCTAACTGTTTGTTGTGACCTTTGAAATATTTTGTAGGTGTTTATTTTCAGGACGCCCTACTAATACTGTATAATACTAATATCTACCTGAATAAAAAGAATTAGGCAAAAGTATTGAATTATTGAATATTGGCTATAGTGTCAAGCTTTGAATTAAAAAAAACTTTGATTTGACCTAGGTCTTTTTATTTCCCCACCACATAATGTGGGGCCATATTGTTGGCCTAGGCACGTCCGTCTGTCTGTCTGTCCATCCATCTGTCCATCCATCCGTCCGTCCGTCCGTCCGTCCGTCCGTCCGTCCGTCCGTCCGTCCCTCCGTCCGTCCGTCTGTCTCTTTCTCCAAAACCGCTACAGATATCACCTTTGAATTTCCAGGGATAACTCATGAGTGCATACAGATGTAGATGTAAAATTTTTAACTCAGTACCTACTGTAAAGTACCTGTAAAGTCTTGTCTTTGCGTTTTCAGGTTAACCGTTTGAGGGATCAATTTTTAATTTTCAGGGATGATTCTTGGTATGAAAATCTTGGAACTGATTAGTTTTTCCGCATTCTTGGTAAATTTTAAGGTGGCCATTTTGGATTTTCCATCCTGAAATCATCTCTGTAAAGTTTTATCTACAGGTTTCCTAGCAAACCAGATGACTGACCGATTTCAAATTTCCAGGAATGATTCTTTGTATGAAAATCTCAAACTACATGTACTTAGTCTTTGGGCAGTCCTGCTAAAGGATTGGTATTGATATTGAGAACTTTTTGAACACACGTTTCTCTTAAACCAGTCATAAAAAAATCTAAAAATTTAACACATAGTCAATTTAATGGTCATCTTTTGAATGGTAACAATATAATTTGAAAAATATATATATACTCATCTATATTGTTTTAGAAAACACATCAAACACTTGTTTTGTTCTTGGTATCATGTTTCCAGAGTGAAATGAAACATCTTTCCGAACCTCATTGGAACAAAACGACATAAACGCAACATGTTTAGGTATCTCAATATTGTAATTATACAAAGGAAATTTTGGTTGATTTTAAAAAAGTATCTTGTTGATGAAATAAAAAGTTTATCTTGATTTTTATCTATTTTGGGGGGATTTTTAAAAAATTTTTGAATACTTTTTTAAAATTAACCAAAAATTCCTTTGTATAACTATAATATTGAGAGGTCTAAAACATGTTGTGTATGCTATTTTGCTCCAACAAGGTTTGGAAAGACATTTTATTTCATTCTCAAGAAATGGTAGAAAGGAGCAAAAACAATTGCACTTAAAAGCAAAAAATGTTAACAAAAACGGTAATATATTTCTAAATAATTTTCGCATTAAATTGTTGTCAATTACTAGTAGTCAACATTACATAAAATACCGTGTTTTTTTACTGAATGTTTTCAATGATTGGTTTAAGAGAAAAACATTGTTGAATTCAGTTTTCCATATTGATACCACTCCTTTGGATATCTGATAACTGATTAGTGTTAGACATTCAGAATGAAAAACTTGCAGTATACTGTAGCATCATCCATTGGTGGGGACATGTTGTACGCATTTGTGTTCTTGTTTACTTTTGTCCTTGACATTTATTTTAAGTAAAGCTTGACATGATTGAACAAATTATATTTGATGATTTAGGCTAAATGTTTTATTTATAACTGTGAAATGTAAATATTGGTTGTTTATAATTTCATCAATTATCATTTTGTACTAGAACAGCATAACTATAATAACAACCTATGATATCAAATCTCATTGCCACTTGGTCCCTCCAAGCTGTTGGATTGATGCATACATAATTATCTAGCCTTCACACTCTTAAACATGTTGAGTACTAGAGTGATTCTATCACTGTTTCCTTGAAAAGGCCGAAATTGGATGTAGGAGACAGTTGTATTTTCAGATTGACTTACATTCAGCATTGGTACATGTTACACAGCAGGGTTAAAAAGCTTCCTTACGAAGTATTTTGACAAAAAGCTCCATAACGAAAGATTTTTGTGCCTACCCGTATGTAACACCTCCACTTTCTATTGAAAAGCTTCTCTGTTAATATGAAGCAATTGACTAGGAAATTCAACCAAGGTAAGATCCCAAGGATCGTGGCAGTGTAACACATGGCTTAATTTGAAAATGCTTAGTTCGGGGGTTTGTACATGCGTGTAATAAAGATCACATAACAGCATTCTATTATTAATGAAGGAATTACAAGTGAAGTACATGTTTATACTTCATATTACTTCTATGCTAGTGTAGAATAATTATCTACTAGCGTTTCTGATTGTCGCTCACCTGTCCCAAGCCCAAGTGAATGTAATTTCCCATCTTTCCTCGCATTTCATTTTAGATAACACATCTTACAAAACTTAAAAACAAAAAATCAGATCCAGCTAATGGATATCTCAATTTCCTAATGTCTGATCAATATATAAACCTAGAATATTTAAATTTCCCTCTTTTCCAAATACCAGTTGACGGAATTGGTCTAAATTCTATTTGCTGATGACCAGGGACAAAGGAGCTCTGCTTAAGAAGAAATTTTAATAATGCAACTGAATTTCAAAATGGTCACCATTTTTTGTACAAGATTTAATCTTTGATAACATTAATACCATCAGTGGACAGATTTGGTTCAAAATTTATATGCTGATACACAGGGACAAAGGAGCTCTGTTCAAAAGAAATTTTCAAGATGGCCAGTTTTATCAAAACATGTTTTGTTCAGTGGGATTTGGTACTCTGTGGAGTTACTGTTTTCTGCACATGAGAGATATTTTTTTCTCTTTGCATCACTATTTAATGTAACATTATTACAATTTATCACCATATACATGTATATATAACTATCAAATAGGATTCATTTAAAGTACTAATCAAAAACAAATGGTAGTCTTATAGGATAATATCTTCTTCATTAATTTATTGCAATTTTGTATACATTGATTATAATGCCATGAAATGTGCAATAAATCAAATTAATTCTTCTCTTGATGTCTTTTTCTACCTTTTCACTCTTAATTATGCAACTGTTTGTACTTAACAGTATACGAGGGTTGTCCCAGAAGTAATGCACTATATGCTCTAACTTTCTTTAATATTCGTCAATTCAGCTGAAATTTTGTGTATATAACAAATGAAGTTTTATCTATTATATCCTGAAGTTTCAGCATCAAATATTTACATTAAGTCTTAATACGGTTGCTATAGCAACATGGGGATAGGGGTGGGCGGGGCAGGTACCAATTTTTCTAATTATGAAAAGATCCAAAGTGTTATTTTATTAATATTTCTTTCTTTTAAATTATCAAAATGTTTCGAAAATTGTTAAATTTATCCAGCATGATGTTAACCAAGTACAAATAATGACATTTAGCACTATCATTCATGTCATAACACCACAGTTCAATAGTCACAAATTCAAATACAGTCGCAGTCAAGAAATTGCAAAATGGCTGCAATTCTTACCTGATAACAGAAGGCCTTGCGTATGGTGGTCTAATTTCATACTTCACTTGGACTAACAGCCACGCAAAACTGATGCTACCATGAAGGAAGTATAAAATGAGTATATACTTAGTACCAGATAGAACTACAATTATGAGGTGGCAGAAGAGATTTAAAAGAGATGACTGGACCCTGGATGAAAACTCCAAACAAACATGGGAGACAAAAACTCCACAAGCCACTGTGGAAGAAATTGCCAAGAGTGTTTTTTCCTGACATGCATCAAAAGTGCATAACATGCAAAGGACAATGTTTTGAGAAAATGTGAAATGGGACACTGTGAAATATACAACCATTAAATCTAGGATGTGCTCATAGTAATTTAGTATCTTAAAATGTATTTTTGAGCATACTTCTTACAGCTACACAAAATGGTATTTGTTGATTAATTATTTCATATGTTCAATTCTTTGTTCATTTTGACACGAATGTATAAACTGCCCCACCCTACCCAAACTCACCAACTTGATTTTGTTATAACATCAATATAGTTTTATCAGTCAACATGAAAATTTGTAGAATAATCAAAATGTCTCTAAGGAACATTTACTGAAAATTTCATGGAAAAATATCAATTATCGATAAAGTTAGAGCATATAGTGCATTACTTCTGGGACAACCCTCATATATAATCCTTCTTAGCATCCTATGATATCGAAACGCATGGAAATTGTAGCTTTCCAACTCACTGGGTTGATACGGACATATCTTGCTTGTACAGGATCAAACATGTTAAGAACAGGTGTCCACATGTCACTATTGCCCTCCATAATCTAGAAATAGATACATTATTAGTTAGAGTAATTTTTGTTTTAAATCATTGTAATATGCTTTTTGGTGACAAATTGTGTCATAGTCTATCAAGGCAATTGATGTCAATTGATGTCATGCCGCTTTGAATTTGGTATTTATAAATATATTTTAATAATTCAACTGAATGAAGTTGATAGTTGTAGCAAGGATATCAAGAGAGCATTGGATGACCTTACTGTGCGATACATGATTTGTAACCAACAGTTTGTGATAACAGTGGATGGAACCCAATACACTTATTTTCCTTAAGTAAAGTTCAAACAATAATTTTGTAACAAATCAATGCTTATTTATGTTGTCTGTTTCCAAACATGAAACTGAATGAAGGATGCTGTCTAGCTAGGAAGCAGTAAATAGATCCAAGGTGTAACTTGAGACACACGTGTATAACAGAAAGTGAAAGCAAGTATGTACATGACTGGATATCTGGTAAGTCAGTATAAATATATTTAATGTCGGCTTGCAGATCCCTTAAATTTCTTTTAATTACATCATCCCAAATATGGATCGTCATTTTGGAAATACTTAAATGAGACTTTTCCAAAAAAGAAATCGATGAATACTTTTGCATCTGTGTTACTGGAAAATAATGAAGTTTCAACAGATAAGAATGTTATATTGGAAAAGTGGAAACAAGATTTTGAAACAGTTTACAAGAAAGATGATAATGATAAAATTGAAGTAGATAATATTAACGCGTTGTTTGAGCTTGACGAAAATAAGCATATAGCAAAAGAGAATACTAGTATTCAAGAAGACGAGTTGTTAAACAGTACCATTACTCTAGAAGAGGTTGGGTATGCCATATCGAAGTTGAAAAATAAGAAAAGTACTGGTATGGATAATATTCCAAATGAGATACTGAAACTACCATCGCTGAAAATGTTATTGTATAAACTTTTTAATGTTTGTTTTACAAACAACATTATTCCAGATGTTTGGTTATATTCTATCATTCATCCTATATTAAAAAAAGGAAAGGACAGTAAAGTTCCATTAAATTATAGAGCAATATGCTTATTATCAACTGTTGCTAAAGCATTTACATCTATTTTAAATAGCCGAATAGTGAGGTTTCTTAATGAGCACAAGATACTTTGTATAGAGCAAAATGGATTCAGAAAGTTTCGTTCATGCATAGAACATATTTTTACATTAACGACTGTGGCTAGAATACGAAAATATTTAAATATGGATACTTATTTCTGTTTCGTCGACTTCAAATGTGCATTTGATTCTGTAAATAGGGATCTATTGTTTCATAAAATGAAGATGAAAGGTATAAACGGAAAAATGTTAGATATTATAATGACCCTGTATTCAAATGTAAAAGGTTGCATGATTTAAGTGAAAGTATTAACAACCTAAAATGTGGTGTACACATGGGTAATGAAGGCATGTTAAGCTTGTTAATGTATGCAGATGATGTTGTTTTGATATCGAGTAGTAAAGATGGTTTGCAAAAATTATATCGTTGGTCAAATACTTGGTAGTTGAAAATTAATACTGATAAAACCAAGGTGATGGTGGTATCAAAGAAGAAATATGAAAACTTTGAAAATTTAGAGTTCAAATATGGTAAATCTTCACTTGATGTAACAGATAAATATCACTATCTTGGTATAGATATTACATATAACTTAGATTTTTCCTTAACTGCTGAAAAAGTAAGTTATTCTGGAAGTAAAGCGCTTGGAGCTATGAGGTCAAAGTACCTACAATTGAAAGGTTTACACTTTGATATTTACACAAAATTATATCACAGTACAGTCGCATCGGTAATGGATTATGCATCTGGAATCTGGGGTCTGCATAGAAAAACTCATAGTTTTACCAATAAAATACAATTTAATGCCATAAGGAGCTTCTTGGGTGTCAGTAAAAAATGCCCTATCAGCTTTTTAGAAGGCGAGTGTGGATGGACCCCAAATTATATAAGACATTATATAGAAGGTATTCGATTAGGCTATTGTATAGATTAGTTGTTAATTGTGAAGAGGCCAATATGGCAAAGAAAGCATTTAGATGGGATTTAAGCTTAGCCAAATTGAAATGTGATTTTACCTGGAATGAAGAAATCCAGAGCATATGTAAAAGTGTTGACATGCTAAATATGTATGATGATATTAAAAAATGTAAAGATTTTAAAAAATTTGTGAATCAAATGAAAGGAAAATTAATGAAAGTACATGAAACTCAATGGTTGGAGACAATTAGGGAAAAAAGAAAATTGACTTTTTATAAGAGCTTTAAATTATCTTTTCAAAGGTCTGAATATTTATTTTGTAATTTTTTGAGTAGAAAACAAAGATCTGTTTTAGCTAAATTTCGATCTGGCACTTTACCTTTAGAGATTGAAATGGGTAGGTGGCAGAATATACCAAGTCAAGAGAGATATTGTAGGCAATGTAAGAATGAAATAGGTGATGAGTTTCATTTTTTATTCAAGTGTAAAGTTAATCATAAATTAAGAGAGGAAATGTTTTGTAAAGTAAAAGGTATATATGATCTATTTGAGTCTTGTGATAATGAAAAGAAAACAATGTACTTATTGAATTCTAAATCACTCTGTAAATATGTTTCAAATTTTTTGCTTTTGTCTTTGGAGGCTAAAGATAGATTAAAGTAAGTGTTAATTCTGACTTATCTGCTTATAATATGATTGTAATTATGTCTCATAAGCCTTTGGAGGCTGGCCGTATAATTACGGGTGACACTGTAATGAATAAATAAATAATATAGCAAAATATCAACCTGATTATTATTCCTCACAGCATATTTATATATACTTCCATTTGTGCTGTAAGAAACTTTGTAAGATGTCACCCATTGGTAATGTACAGTCGAGATCCTTCCCTGGGTAATAACACCAAAGACTTGCATTATTTTTCCCAGATCTGCTTGTATCCATTGATTTTGGTCCTTTATTTTAGCACTCCAACCTCCTCTCATATTCGCTCCTCTAAAAATAAATGATATGTAAAATGAGTGACTGCACATGACACCCTATCGTTTTTTTAATTACTTCACATATACCAAAATCAGCTTTTGGGGATGAATACTAAATAGAGGAGGCATAAAATAAATATTAAGTCTTACTCCATTTGTGTTCCAAGTCTCGCTCTATGAGGTCCATGTCCATTATCAATCATACTAGAAGCAGTCAACTCGGAGTCTGGAACCCTGTGTCTTAGTCCATTAACCAATAACATTCCCATACATTTATCTGAAACAACTCAGAACTGTTGTATGTACAATAAAACAAAAACGAGTTGAGAGAAACTTTCCAAAATCGTACAGTATGTTTTTGTAAAATGACTCAGAGTGATTTGATTTTGAAATAATGTTGCATATCTTATTAGTAATACATGTACAAACATTTTCTGTTTTCAAATGGTTGATATTATTAAATATTTTCTTTCATGATGTACAAATGGAAACATTTTTTACAACTTTGTATATTTTCTATGAAGTAGTTAGTTTAGTCTTAGTTTAATTTTGTATATTGTAGTTTGTAGTGACTAATATGTCATTGCAATGACATCAGAGAGTCAATAAAAGATATATATAAACATACAAAGTGTAAGAAGCCAAAACTGGTGAAAAGTACTGCAGCCCCCATGTGCTTAGAAAATTTAAAATACCTCATTCAGACCATTCTAATATGTGCCGATATATGATTAAAAGTCAGAAATCCCTAGGAATTTCATTTATGACAATTTTGTTGCTTATTTTCAACATCAGAATATACAACACATTAATTTTATGATATTGATGTAGATTGTTATCGAAGAGTTTATGGTAAAGATTACTAAAATGAAATAAGAATGTATGTATTTTTTAATACGCAATATATGAATTTTGTGAAGTGGGGTGGGCACTTATTAGGGGGTGCTAAATACAGTGATTACAGTATTTATTTATATATGTCTTTTTGAAAGAAAGTTACAAGAACAAAATGGAGAAAAGAGGTAGTAAGACTCTACAGGTATAATTTATCAAAGAATAGTACTTCATGTTTGGGTAAGAAATTGTGAATTCTAATTAATTCATACCTGTCTATCTGTTGTTATTGAGTTATTTTCATCATTTAGATTTAGTGTCACTGAACAACAACAAAAATGCAAACAGATGAACAATACATGAAAAAAGAATGAACAACTTCTAACATTTTTCTCATGTGGTACTTTTTTACACTTTGCTCAAACCTTTTAATCTGTCACAACTCCTTAGAACAATATATTACAATATATTTTCAAAATACCTGATGTTCCAATCTGTTTTTTTAAGTCTTCAATATCTTTCTTTATATTGGTTATATCATTTTCCATATTCTCAATGTAGCATGATCTTTCTCCGTGTATACCTGCTTAAAGTAAGAATTTACCAATGTGAGAATGTCAAATGAAATAACAGTAAAGGAAATCAAACCTTGAAAGACCACCATGTACGCTATACAGTAAAAGTTAAAGGTAGAATCAAGAGTTATTGGGAGCAACAAATTTGGTTCAAGTTGTATATGCGATATGTAGGAACAAAGTAGCTCTGTTTAAGAAGAAATTTTCAAGAGGCTACTATTTGTCAAAACATGTTTTGTTCGGTGGGACTTGCTACTCCGTGGATTTGCTGTTTTCTAGTTTTGTAAAATGTCAGTCAAATAACTACCAGATTTTAAAGATGTTACAGTACCTGTATATCTGTAGAAAACAGTGATCACCACTAAAAACACCTTCAATGTGGCTGCCATTGTTCTGTGATTCTAGCCTAGTTAGTTCTTGTTTCTCTTGCTCGTTATCCTTGTTTGCTACACAATGTTATAATTTCACCTGTGTTTATGTCTAAATCCTGTGGATAATGTTGTATACTTCGATGGCTCTGATTGGCTAGTAGTAAAAATATACTGATTAAAGTAAATAAATGCTGATGGCCAATCATATCAGCATACATGTATCAGCAGCATTTTCCTTCGCCTTTTCAATCAACTGGAGTCGTCAGCAGTCACAGGGGATAGTAAAGCATGGGCGACTCCACTCGATGGCAGCATGCCTAAGGTTAAAGCAAAAATTTCTTGTTTCCTTTTCTGCATTCACATATTTGTTGGGTTGGATTTATTTAAGGGTATTCCATGGAATTGGAATGTTTGATCAATATAGTATTGAAAACATTTTAACTTCTGAATTTATGTCATGAGAATTTATTATTTATGGCATTTGAATACTAAATGTGTGCATTGTGGTTAATAAAAAAGTCATCATGTCACAAGTTATCTGTAATTAATGTGGTATTTGCAAATATCAACTCTGATATTTGCTAGTATTGTGTAAACTATATTTCATTTAACATGTAGTATAATAATATCTGGTTCATTTATTTTAAATACCTGTTAGTGTTAATGATTGTTTGGCTATATTACAATGTATGTATCTTTTTTTATTTATTTATTTTTGTGATGCCAGGATCCATTCAGTGGTTGGTGTTTGGTGTTCAGGGTTCTGCGTATAACAATTTGCAATAACTTACAAGGTGGTGACATTTTGTCACATTAATGCCTTGCTTATATTGGAACTATATTGTAAGAAATTGAATCTTCCAGGTACAATTTAAAGAGGCAGATTGAGAGTACCAAAGATTGTGCATGGAATAGGATATATCAGCTCACCTGTTCAATCCCGATTTAAATCAGGAGAAATCCAGAATTTTTAGTGCTTGTCACGACTTTTTACTCAAAACCTCCTATTTTCAAAAACTTAGATTTTTTAGAAAAAATCCTGATTTTTCATAAAATTTCACAATTCTTTGTTCAAAAATCCTGATTTGTTAACGAGACATCTTTGGAACATCTTTGGAAAATATTTGTTGATTTGTACCCTTGATTAAAGGTGTAACAAGTAGTGCAGAGGGGCCATTCAACGATCATGAACCAGTGTCAAAATATATTTAACTTTGGATATTTCATCAAGACTAACATCTATTTGTATTTTCTTCAAAGAAACCCCCCAGATAATCATTATTTCAGCTTATATTCCTCTTGAAACATGGTGGATCTTAAAATATAAAAGTGGACGTCCCCTTTTTGAAGCTTTGAACTGAATTTACACTTTTTAATGCCGAAATTGATAGTTTATCCATACATTTTAAGAAAATAGGTATGTCGAAGAAGATGTTAAGCCAACTGTTGCCTTGATAGCTCAGAAAAAGTTAAAATTTTCCCATTTTCTCTCTACAAGCCTTATTGCCCCTTTAAGTAACAACTGTTCTGATTGGCTGGTGATTTAATGGCTATTTGAAAGTTTGTTTGCTCAGTCCTGACAATTGCTGCACCAAGGGTATGGAAAGAAGTGAAATACCCTTGGACCAAGGATGAAGATGGTCAGAGTCTCTTTGTATAGGCTGATACACAGATCCCATATTAATACATGTATCTCTACCTGGTGCAAGTAAATAATGTTTTTGTTCTGTTTATTTGTTGTAGTACTTGAAAGTAATCAGTTACTCATCGAAATACCAGAAAAATATACTGAGGGGAATCTACCCCAACAAATCACTCAACCTCTCAGATGTAACATATGGGGTTACACTGAGAAAAACTGTAGAACTAAGATGTCTTCTGATATAAATAATGGGATTGAGTTGGATGAAATGACCAGAAGTCTTGCAGAGTGAGTAATCATTTTGTGTTATTGTACTTTTATACCAGCCTTGGCCAACTTTAGTATTATGATTCATGAATAGATGTTCAGAGTTACAGTGTGGATGAAATCCTGGAGGATTAGAAAACTAATACCAAAATTCAAAGAGAAGAGATTTTTTGAAGGATGAAAATTGAAATTGATGAAACTACACCGCATGCTAGCTGCGTTTCACTGGCTATTTTCCAGCTTCTTTGGCATGGTTCATTTCACTAGCAAGCCCTCTCAAGAGTATGCTGACAACATGATGGTTCACCAGACACTTGTTACAGCCATGAAGAATGATGTTGAAGAAAATGCTGAACCTATATCTATAGATCATTTTAGAGAGGTATGTACATGTACCATGATTTCCTTGTCCCACTCACAGAAATTAATCGCAAATGCATCATTGAAGTAGCTTAGCTTGTATATTTTTCAAATCCTTGATACATTGAACTAATATTCAAGTCAACACAAATGTGACCTTTTATCTTTTTAATCTTCTTACTGTAAATGAAAATGGTATTTGAGAGCTAATATATGTAATAGAATTTCTTAATGATCCCAGTGGCTTGGGTTCTACATGACTGTTTCTTTTTGTTTTGAAGCATATCATTTTAACATGTTTCTCTTACAGTTTATTGATATATCAAGACACACACAAGTGTTTCTCGGAAAGCAGGCTGAGAAATTGATCAGAGGGTACTATGTGAGTAGTAGGAGAGTCCGCGCAGCAAGTGTACATGATACAGCATTCCCTGTATCTGCGGTCCAAACTATGTAAGTAATGACATCATAGTTTAGTAAGCAATTACATGTACATTAAAACTTGTAAAATGGAACACCTCTGTAAGTAGAACATCTCCAGAAGTGAAACACTTTTCAAAGTCCCCCAAGCTATTGACTTATTGTTAAATGAACATATGTAAGTTGAACACCTCCCATTGGAAGACCTTTTGTTAGAGGTAACAAAGAGTTTCCACAGATTTTACTGTATATATTTTGGAGTTTTTTTTTTAATTGATTCTGTTTTGATATGTAATTTTGTATTTTTCTTCAATTTTATGTTTTAGTACATCTATGGCAGTTGCACATGCAAAACTGAGTATGAGGAAGGAGGCAAAAGCAGAAGATGCAGTGTTGGCTATTTATCTATATGAGGAATATATTACTTCACGTTATGGTAAGAAACTTTTTGCATTTGCTTTTGTTGATGATTTGATGATACTGAATTGCATAAAGCTACCAGGGGATTGACATCCTCCTCTAAATTTTCTTTGACATCTTCTTATATGCACAAATATTCTCATTAGTACAATGAAATATTGAGTATGGATTGGTATGTATTTCAAATCTAAAGCAATTATAGAATAAAATACCAAACCAAATAGTCAATAATGTATGAACTATTCTTCTTATACAGGCTATTCTGTACTGAATGTTGATCCATGTCCCCACATCAGAGACAACAATCTAGATTCCTACATAGGACATAAGGTAAGCTTCAAAATGGAGAGCATGACTGCCATGGTCATGTAAAGACATATCTCTGATCAATAGAAGAGAATAACATTTGATCACTTGATCAGGATGTAGACTGTCAGGAATGTTGTAGAATTGGTTTCAATGTTGTCTTCTTACATCCTAAGTGATTTCGAAGTTGTTTATCCCCCCACAGTTGATGTATACCCTAGGGAGCTTGTGTGTATTTATCTGAGCTCTGATAATAATACATTATAGTTTTGACTTTGATTGATTTTCACCTAGGAAAAGTCAACCAATCAGATTTACATTAAGTTCCAAATTATGTTATGTTAACCAATCAGATTTACATTTAGTTTCATATTATGTTAATATAACCAATCAGATTTACATTAAGTTCCAAACTAGAAAAACAGCAACTCCACGGAGTAGCAAATTCCACCGAACAAAACATATTATGCTTATTATAGCTAGTGTAAATGTTGAAATGTTTGTGCACTTTGTGATAGAAGCATGAAATTTGGCACAAAGTTAGTTTATACCATTGTGAACTAGGCATCATCATATAAAATTTGAACCAAATCCGTTCACTGGTCTCTGAGTTATCAAAGATTATGTTTTTTACGAATGTGGGCCGCCATCTTGAAATTCAGCCGCCATCTCGAAAATTATTTCTTGAACAGAGCTACTGTGTCCCTAGGCATAAACATATAAAATTTCAACCAAATCTGTTCACTGGTATTTGAGTTATCAAAGATTACGTTTTTTACGAAAGATTGCCGCCATTTTGAAATTAAGCGGCCATCTTGAAAATGTTTTGTCGAACATAGCTACTGTGTCCCTAAGCATCATCGTATAAAATTTGAACCAAATCCATTCACTGGTATTTGAGTTATCAAAGATTACATATTTTTACGAAAAATGGCCGCCATTTTGAAATTAAGCGGCCATCTTGAAAGTCTCTTTTTGTGCGAAACTCCTTTGTCCCTAGGCATCAGCATATAAAATTTGAACCAAATCCGTTCACTGGTATATGAGTTATCAAAGATTACGTTTTTTACGAATATGGGCCGCCATCTTGAAATTCAGCCGCCATCTTGAAAATTATTTCTTGAACAGAGCTACTGTGTCCCTAGGCATAATCATATAAAATTTCAACCAAATCTGTTCACTGGTATTTGATTTATCAAAGATTACGTTTTTTACGAAAAATTGCCGCCATTTTTAAATTAAGCGGCCATCTTGAAAATGTTTTGTCGAACATAGCTACTGTGTCCCTAAGCATCATCATATAAAATTTGAACCAAATCCGTTCACTGGTATTTGAGTTATCAAAGATTACATATTTTTACAAAAAATGGCCGCCATTTTGAAATTAAGCGGCCATCTTGAAAATCTCTTTTGTGCGAAACTCCTTTGTCCCTAGGCATCAGCATATAAAATTTGAACCAAATCTGTCAACTTGTATTTGAGTAATCAATGATTACATTTTTTACGAAAAATGGCGGCCATTTTGAATTGAGGGGCCATATTGAAAATTCCTTCTCGAGCAGAGGTCCTACACTCATAAGGCATAAGCCTATAAAATTTGAATCAAATCCGTGAAACGGTATTTGAGTTATCGCCCGGACAAACAGACGGACGGACGGACGGACGGACGGACGGCTTTCCTATATCCCTCACGAACTTCGTTCGGTGGGATAATTATATTATATTAACCAATCAGATTTACATTTAGTTTCATATTATGTTAATATAACCAATCAGATTTACATTAAGTTTCATATTATGTTATGTTACAGCATAACCAGCACATGCAGCAGTTTTATGTGCACTTAGTGAGGTTCTGTTCTATTCATGCCGGGGAGGGAGAATTCACATTCCATGAAGAATAGTTCAGTAAGTATTTCTACTCATAACTACTCTAGACTTAAGTATAGGTAGGGATTCAGGGTGACTGAATTTAAAAATGGCCACTTTATTGAAGCTTGGTATATTTGTTATATCTAGAATTATTGATTTAGCATATATAAACAGCACTTTTGTCTCTTGTGTGCAACTACAAATAGCCCAATAGGTATTAATTATAACTATTACTAAGGACATATGATAATAGTCATATGAAAGTTGTCTCACAAGTAAATTGTTTTGAGTGTTAAGTTGTCATACGTCGCCACTTTCTACAGCGCCTGGTACACAATACATTTATTTGTTCATCTTTGATAACGATTTCACAACAATTGCGGTGAAAGAACTTGTGGGAATCACATTCTCTGCCTCTACTGTTATTAAGACAAAATTTGACGACTTGGATATGCTGTTTGTTTTTCAATTGGCCATGATCTCTGCACCTTGGTTTATTGAGAAGATCTACATCCAGTTCATTGCATTCATCATGGCACATTGCTGAAAGTAAAGGATATTAAACAATTATCTCTGTTTGTTTCTCAATTGGCCATGATCTCTGCACCTTGGTTTATTGAGAAGATCTACATCCAGTTCATTGCATTCATCATGGCACATTGCTGAAAGTAAAGGATATTAAACAATTATCTCTGTTTGTTTCTCAATTGGCCATGATCTCTGCACCTTGGTTTATTGAGAAGATCTACATCCAGTTCATTGCATTCATCATGGCACATTGCTGAAAGTAAAGGATATTAAACAATTATCTCTGTTTGTTTCTCAATTGGCCATGATCTCTGCACCTTGGTTTATTAAGAAGATCTACATCCAGTTCATTGCATTCATCATGGCACATTGCTGAAAGTAAAGGATATTAAACAATTATCTCTGTTTGTTTCTCAATTGGCCATGATCTCTGCACCTTGGTTTATTGAGAAGATCTACATCCAGTTCATTGCATTCATCATGGCACATTGCTGAAAGTAAAGGATATTAAACAATTATCTCTGTTTGTTTCTCAATTGGCCATGATCTCTGCACCTTGGTTTATTGAGAAGATCTACATCCAGTTCATTGCATTCATCATGGCACATTGCTGAAAGTAAAGGATATTAAACAATTATCTCTGTTTGTTTTTCAATTGGCCATGATCTCTGCACCTTGGTTTATTGAGAAGATCTACATCCAGTTCATTGCATTCATCATGGCACATTGCTGAAAGTAAAGAATATTAAACAATTATCTCTGTTTGTTTCTCAATTGGCCATGATCTCTGCACCCTGGTGTATTAAGAAGATCTACATCCAGTTCATTGCATTCATCGTGGCACATTGCTGAAAGTAAAGAATATTAAACAATTATCTCTGTTTGTTTCTCAATTGGCCATGATCTCTGCACCGTGGTTTACTGAGAAGATCTACATCCAGTTCATTGCATTCATCGTGGCACATTGCTGAAAGTAAAGAATATTAAACAATTATCTCTGTTTGTTTCTCAATTGGCCATGATCTCTGCACCTTGGTTTACTGAGAAGATCTACATCAAGTTCATTGCATTCATCATGGCACATTGCTGAAAGTAAAGGATAATTAAACAATTATCTCTGTTTTTTCTCAATTGGCCATGACCTCTGCACCTTGGTTTATTGAGAAGATCTACATCCAGTTCATTGCATTCATCATGGCACATTGCTGAAAGTAAAGGATATTAAACAATTATCTCTGTTTGTTTCTCAATTGGCCATGATCTCTGCACCTTGGTTTACTGAGAAGATCTACATCAAGTTCATTGCATTCATCATGGCACATTGCTGAAAGTAAAGGATAATTAAACAATTATCTCTGTTTTTTCTCAATTGGCCATGACCTCTGCACCTTGGTTTATTGAGAAGATCTACATCCAGTTCATTGCATTCATCATGGCACATTGCTGAAAGTAAAGGATATTAAACAATTATCTCTGTTTGTTTCTCAATTGGCCATGATCTCTGCACCTTGGTTTATTGAGAAGATCTACATCCAGTTCATTGCATTCATCATGGCACATTGCTGAAAGTAAAGAATATTAAACAATTATCTCTGTTTGTTTTTCAATTGGCCATGATCTCTGCACCTTGGTTTATTAAGAAGATCTACATCCAGTTCATTGCATTCATCATGGCACATTGCTGAAAGTAAAGGATATTAAACAATTATCTCTGTTTGTTTCTCAATTGGCCATGATCTCTGCACCTTGGTTTATTGAGAAGATCTACATCCAGTTCATTGCATTCATCATGGCACATTGCTGAAAGTAAAGGATATTAAACAATTATCTCTGTTTGTTTCTCAATTTGCCATGATCTCTGCACCTTGGTTTATTAAGAAGATCTACATCCAGTTCATTGCATTCATCATGGCACATTGCTGAAAGTAAAGGATATTAAACAATTATCTCTGTTTGTTTCTCAATTGGCCATGATCTCTGCACCTTGGTTTATTGAGAAGATCTACATCCAGTTCATTGCATTCATCATGGCACATTGCTGAAAGTAAAGGATATTAAACAATTATCTCTGTTTGTTTCTCAATTTGCCATGATCTCTGCACCTTGGTTTATTGAGAAGATCTACATCCAGTTCATTGCATTCATCATGGCACATTGCTGAAAGTAAAGGATATTAAACAATTATCTCTGTTTGAATTCCTTGACAGCAAGACTGATATCTATAAACCTATTAAATAATATTTGAATGTTAATGTTCAACCTGTTGTAAGCATATTAATGTTTATATATTCATTCGGTTGTGTTATTTTTTTTTGTATATTGTAGAACATCAAAACAAATCATATTAGGTGATGACATAAATTACGCCGTTTAAAAATATATTGAGTGAAAGCAAATGGTGAGAAGTTGTCGTTTTGTTTTTCAAAGTTTTACTGTTCCACATCAAAGGAATTCTGATATTCTAAACTAGTAAGCATTTCATTGTACGACATTATGGATTACCTAGACTTTCCATGGTTTCATTATCTGATATAAACCCAAAGCAGCATTTGTGAACATCAGGCATCATATCACATTTATCTTCATTTCTTGCCCAATGGGAAAATATTCCTTTGTCGAATCTTGGACACCTTAAAGTTACATCCAGGCGGCATACAAAATCAAGGAAATTTCTTATTGCAGGAAAATACACACTCATATTGATACCTCTTCTGGTAGTTCTTTGTGTGGTTGTAGTTGATGTAGTGGTAGTTGGTGTGGTAGTCATTGATGTGGTAGAGGTTGGTGTGGTTGAAGTCTGTGTGGTAGTACTTTGTGTGGTTGTAGTTGGTGTAGTGGTAGTTGGTGTGGTAGTAGTTGATGTGGTAGAGGTTGGTGTGGTTGAAGTCTGTGTGGTAGTACTTTGTGTGGTTGTAGTTGGTGTAGTGGTAGTTGGTGTGGTAGTAGTTGATGTGGTAGAGGTTGGTGTGGTTGAAGTCTTTGTGGTAGTACTTTGTGTGGTTGTAGTTGGTGTGGTTGAAGTCTGTGTGGTTGTAGTTTGTGTTGTTGTCTGTGTAGTTGTATTTTCTGTTGTTGTATTTGATGTTGTTAGTATTGTTGATTCTTGTATCGTTGCGGAAGATTCTGTTGTATCATGGTCTTCTATAGTATTAGAGTCCATAATTGTTGTCACTGATTCTTCTGTTGGTGAAGGAGTTTCCGTTGAATTCAATGCATGCTCGCTTTGGTTATTATAAGGTGTCGTAAGTGACACTGTGTTCTTTATGAAGACTCCACAAAGGAAAACAATGTATCGCCAATAAGCCATCGCACAGATAAAGTGTTAATAGAATTCAATGATTATGTCTGGATTGAAGATCAATATTACAAGAAATAACTGGAAGCAAACATTATGAATCATGCATGATTAGGCACTAAGCCATTAGTAATGAAATAAAGTATAATGTTAATTATTTCTTGCATCAATGAAAACCTGCATAATAATTTCTACAAGTTTACTTGGGGCAGTCACGTTGTAAAAACGATACATAGCTTCACTTCTTTTTGAAGGAGTAATAGCTGTAAAAATGGGGCTAGCTCACTGTTCTCTATATAAGGTTCATTTTCATTTTAAGCTTTTTAATGTCACAATATGGTGACTTGATAATATTTACACATGTTCATCATAAATCTGTAAGTATTAGTGAGGCCTACAGTTATGGAATATTTTTATTTATTTTTGCAAAAAACAATGTTTACATTTCTTGTCCTCTGTGTGAGCTTCACAGTGGCTATTGGCAGGATCAGTGAATCCCCAATAGCAGACATGAAATGGGAATATAACTTGAAAAGTAAATTTGAAAACCACTCTGGTGGGAGACATTGTATGACATTGTTTCTTTTCACATTAAATCATGGTTTTGGGATATATGGGATTTGTTTTTCTTATGACTGGTATGCACTCAGAGTTTTTTTTTTTTTGCTGGGTTCTATTACAACTTTTGATCCTTTTCATTTGGCAATTGTGCTTAGATATTTCAAGTACTTATATTTGCTTATTTCACCAAATGTGCCAAATGATATTGAGCATAAATCTACTTTTTCACTTACATGTAATCATATTAGGAATTATAGTAAATGGATGGATGATTATTTGAAACTATAGAGAAATATAAGTTATGCTGTCTGTCCATCTGTTTGCATGTGCAGTGAATGATGGTATTGAGCAGCACGTATCAACTGATAGGTTTTACTTAAAATGCATACAGATATTAATGGACATCTCATTTGAGAACTTATTCAATACTGTACATATACATTTGCAATACAGTAAAACCTGTCTAATCCGAACACCCATGGGACCAGCCAAAAGCGTTCAAATTGGCAGGTGTTCAAATTTCGAGGATATTGTTGGTCGGGGGGGGGGGGGATTTTCATTGTTCAGTCCACTATATTGAACACTTAATACTTAGTCAGAAGAGTTTATTCTACAATAGGCCTATAGCCTACATGTATATGCTATGTTTTATTTACATTTTGAACAATTTCATTATTTTTGGAAAAATAACTCTTTAATTTTGGCAAAAACTTTGTAATACACTGAATAAGTATATGATAGTGTAACGTTTTTCCCGTGGGTCAGGAATGCGGGGAAAATGCGGGGAAGATGGACCCTCCCTTGTGTTACTTAATTGCGGGATTATACGGAGCGGCGTTGACTCCGCTCGCTACAGTCGCCTGAGATGTTACTCCAAGGGAATGCAAGGGGAAAGAAAGTATTACGCAATCTGGGTTTGCACTACACAAGTTCCCTCTGGAACTCACTACAATACAACAATGAACATTCAAGTACAGAATAAAAGTAAAGTTATATATTTGCTCTTTATGAGCCAAACAATGCTTTAGAAACAATAGAAAATTATGTACAAAGTCGAGCTCAAACTACCCTAAACTATATAATCACTAATGCCTTAAGGCAGAAAAACATGTGATGTCACTTGAATGTCTTTAAGTTACTATAAGAAAGTAAGATCAAAAGAGGATATCACTTTGATAAGTTCCAGCAAAAGATAAAGGTTGATATCACTTGAATGTCTCTAAAGTCGCCACATAAAATAATCATGAACTCATATTAAACAATCACTATAACATTAGATGTCTTTGTTTGTGTCTTCTTCAGCAATTGTGGGATGCACCTCTTGTCTTTGTATTCCGTTGTCTGTCCTGAAATAAAATGGCGCTCCTGGCCACGGGACCCCACTGTCTACTTATCAAGTTTATTAATGTACAACCTGGTACAAATATTCTTAAAATCCGGAATCCAAGTTGCAATCGGGTGCAACGATCCTACTCAATGGGTGCAAAAGCCCTTATATCTCTTGATTATAGGTGCAATGTTTCTGTGTGCCCCTGTTCCTAACCAGGGTGCAATTCCTCTATATGCCCTTGTCCCTTAACCAAGGTGCATCTTGCCCCTGTTCCTTAACCAGGGTGCAAGTCCTTTTATGTGCCCTTGTTCCTTAACCAAGGTGCACCTTGCCCCTGTCCCTTAACCAGGGTGCAAGTCCTTTATATGCCCTTATTAAACTTTGCACCTATGGCCAGTTTGCAATTCCCTTATATGCCCTTGTTCCTAACCAAGGTGCATCTTGCCCCTGTTCCTTAACCAGGGTGCAAGTCCTCTATATTCCATTATCCAAGTTGCAATCAGGTGCAAATGTCCTTAAATCCATTATCAAAGATGCAATTAGGTGCCAACATCCTTAAATCCTTAATCCGAGGTGCAACCGGGTGCAAATGTCCTTATGGGGTGCAACCTGGTGCAAGTATCCTTAAATCCTCAATCCGAGGTGCAACCGGGTGCAAGTATCCTTATCGGGTGCAACCTGGTGCAAATGTCCTTTAATCCTTAATCCAAGTTGCAATCAGGTGCAAATGTCCTTAAATCCTTTATCAAAGTTGCAATCAGGTGCAAATGTGCTTTAATCCTTAATCCGAGGTGCAACCTGGTGCAAGTATCCTTAAATCCTTAATCCGAGGTGCAACCTGGTGCAAGTATCCTTAAATCCTTAATCCGAGGTGCAACCGGGTGCAAATGTCCTTATGGGGTGCAACCTGGTGCAAGTATCCTTAAATCCTTAATCCGAGGTGCAACCGGGTGCAAATATCCACTATGGGTGCAATCGGGTGCAAATATACGCTATGGGTGCAACCGGGTGCAAGTATCCTTAAAATCCTATATCCGAGGTGCAACCGGGTGCAAATGTCCTTATGGGGTGCAACCTGGTGCAAATATCCTTAAATCCTCAATCCAAGTTGCAATCAGGTGCAAATGTGCTTTAATCCTTAATCCGAGGTGCAACCAGGTGCAAATGTCCTTAAATCCTTAATCCGAGGTGCAACCAGGTGCAAATGTCCTATATGGGTACAACCTGGTGCAAGTATTCTTAAATCCTTAATCCGAATTGCAACCGGGTGCAAATGTCGTTATGGGGTGCAACCTGGTGCAAGTATCCTTAAATCCTTAATCCGAGGTGCAACCGGGTGCAAATGTCCTTATGGGGTGCAACCGGGTGCAAGTATCCTTAAATCCTTAATCCGAGGTGCAACCGGGTGCAAATGTCCTTATGGGGTGCAACCTGGTGCAAGTATCCTTAAATCCTGAATCCGAGGTGCAACCGGGTGCAAATGTCCTTATGGGGTGCAACCTGGTGCAAGTATCCTAAAATCCTTAATCCGAGGTGCAACCGGGTGCAGATGTCCTTATGGGGTGCAACCTGGTGCAAGTATCCTTAAATCCTTAATCCGAGGTGCAACCGGGTGCAAATGTCCTTATGGGGTGCAACCTGGTGCAAGTATCCTTAAATCCTTAATCCGAGGTGCAACCGGGTGCAAATGTCCTTATAGGGTGCAACCTGGTGCAAATGTCCTTAAATCCTTAATCCTATGTGCAACCGGGTGCAAATGTCCTTTAATCCTTAATCCAAGTTGCAATCAGGTGCAAATGTCCTTATGGGATGCAACCTGGTGCAAGTATCCTTAAATCCTTAATCCGATGTGCAACCGGGTGCAAATGTCCGCTATGGGTTGCAACCTGGTGCAAGTATCCTTAAATCCTTAATCCGAGGTACAACCGGGTGCAAATATCCACTATGGGTGCAATCGGGTGCAAATATACGCTATGGGTACAACCGGGTGCAAATATCCTTAATCATAGGTGCAATGTCTCTGTGTGCCCCTGTTCCTAACCAGGGTGCAATTCCTCTATATGCCCTTGTTCCTTAACCAAGGTGCATCTTGCCCCTGTTCCTTAACCAGGGTGCAAGTCCTTTTATGTGCCCTTGTTCCTTAACCAAGGTGCACCTTGCCCCTGTCCCTTAACCAGGGTGCAAGTCCTTTATATCTCTTATTATACTTTGCACCTATGTCCAGGTTGCAATCATGGGTACAAATGCCCCTTGCACCAATATGGGGTTGCAAGTTGGGTGCAACTCTCCAAAATATCCTTTACACATAATCCAGATGGTTATAATGGGTGCAAATATCCCTTGCACCTATATGGGGTTGCAAATTGGGTGCAACTCTCCCAAATGACCTTCACACCTGGTGCAAATATTCCTTGCACCGATATGGGGTTGCAAGTTAGGTGCAACTCTCCCAAATGTCCTTTTGTTGATTATTGTGGGTGCAAATATCCCTTGCACCGATATGGGGTTGCAAGTTAGGTGCAACTCTCCCAAATGTCCTGGGGTTGCAAGATTGAGTGCAACTCTCCCAAAAATTCCTTCACACCTATTCCAGGTGGTTATTATGGGTGCAAATATTCCTTGCACCAATATGGGGATGCAAAGTTGGGTGCAACTCTCCGAAATGTCCTGGGGTTGCAAGTTAGGTGCAACTCTCCCAAATATCCTTCACACCTATTCCAGATGGTTATTATGGGTGCAAATATTCCTTGCACCAATATGGGGATGCAAAGTTGGGTGCAACTCTCCCAAATCTCCTGGGGTTGCAAGATTGAGTGCAACTCACCCAAAAGTCCTTCCGTTGATTATTGTGGGTGCAAATATCCCTTGCACCGATATGGGGTTGCAAATTCGGGTGCAACTCTCCCAAATATCCTTCACACCTAGTCAAGGTGGTTGATATGGGTGCAAATGTTCCTTGCACCGATCTGGGGTTGCAAATTAGCTGCAACTCTCCCAAATGTACTTCAGGTGGTTACAATGGGTGCAAATATTCCTTGCACCGATATGGGGTTGCAAAATTGGGTGCAACTCCCCCAAATATCCTTCACACCTATTCAAGGTGGCTGATATGGGTGCAAATGTTCCTTGCACCAATATGGGGTTGCAAAGTTGGGTGCAACTCTCCCAAATATCCTTCACACCTAGTCAAGGTGGTTGATATGGGTGCAAATGTTCCTTGCACCGAACTGGGGATGCAAAGTTGGTTGCAACTCTCCCAAATAACAATATAATGTTGAGTAAAAATAATGAATAAAAATACACACACAATCTCAGCAAATATAGTAATAGATACAATCCGATTTGAATCTCTAAAACAATGTTCAAAATGTCCAGGCTAAAAAATGGACAAACCGTGATGATATTTGATGACAATCTTTCGTCAATTACTCAACAAAATATTCTTACTTACGACCCCGTGGTTGTTCCAGTCTGTAAATCCGTTAATATTTTGTCGCACAACAACTTGACAAACTGGTCAAATTCCTTTTATATGCCCCGCGCGGACGTTTTGGACTGCATAAATCTGATTGGTTAATTCCGCCAAAAAACTAGGTTAGTATGCCGATGAGGTACCTCAATGGGCGATAATATGAAATTTCCGTGGATGATCATGTCACTAAAATGCTAAGAACGTGATCAATTAACTCGAGAATAATTAAAGATCAAAGTTCCTATGAAAGATTATACGCCAATAATTAATCCGCCACTCGCCTAAACTCACCAGTTCCACTGAAATTCCTGTAAAATGGCTTCGTTTTCCGATTTTGAAAGAATAATTATATTGACTTTCTTATTTCCCGAATTTCATATCAAAACCGGTAATGGTGAAACGAAAACACAGAAATCAATTTTCATCACAATAGTCTTGTACGAAATCTTATGCTTATTAAATGACTTATCTCATATAATGGTTACTTAGCACTGCTTTACTTTAGCTTGAAAAAGTCGTTCATTGTTGTTTGTTTCTTGGCACTTTCAGCATTAGCAATATTTGAGGAGATACCTTCTTCAATTAAAAAGAATTTTTCATGAGTGCTCATTCGAGATGATGCATAATCTTTCAAAATATCAAGTCAATATCTCACAGATTCTCACCTTTCTCTTAATCCAAATCAAAAACATCCAGGTAATTTCTAATAATGATAAAACAATAATAATCTTGTCTGCAAATGTGTCTGTGTTGTCTCTGTGATTATAAACATTTACTGATTGAATCCTAGCTATCATAACAGACCCATGGGATATAAAACAGTTAAGACTTGTTCATAATCCAAATCAAAAACATCCATTTAATTTAAAATAAGGATAAACCAATTATCTCCCAGATTCTCACCTTTCTCTTAATCCAAATCAAAAACATCCAGGTAATTTCTAATAATGATAAAACAATTATAATCTTGTCTGCAAATGTGTCTGTGTTGTCTCTGTGATTATAAAACATTTACTGATTGAATCCCAGCTATCATAACAGACACATGGGATATAAAACAGTTAAGACTTGTTCATAATCCAAATCAAAAAATCCAGTTAATTTAAAATAAGGATAAACCAATTATCTTCTTGATTCACACCTTTCTCTTAATCCAAACATAAAACATTCAGTTCTTTTCTAATAGGATAAACCAATTAACTCCCGTATTCACACCTTTCCTGTTGTTTTCCACAATTAGGGATGTCATTGAGACTTAAATAAGTTAATTAGGACAATATTGGTTCTTTGATTACATTGCATATATAAGATAATAAGAACTATAACATTGTCTCAATATGTGGCTATTATTGAAATGTCCAGCCATTTGATTTCTGACAAAATGTTCGGATTAGACAGGTCAGTTTTTCAAATTTGATTGTTCACTGTTCAGATTAGGAGGTGTTCAGATTTCAAGGTTTTTTTAACATGGGAGTCAATTGGAGGAAAAAATGGGACTGAAAAAAAGTGTTCAAATTGGAAGGTGTTCGGATTAGCCAGGTGTTCGGATTAGCCAGGTGTTCAGATATACAGGTTTTACTGTACAAACATTATTTAATTAGTTCTTTGATTTGCATGCAACAGCGCTGGCATTTGTCTGTCAAACATTATCCTAGAAGTATCATAAAGGCATTTATCTTGTTAATTCACTGAGCAATTATTTGTAGTGTTGCGATGACCATCTTTTTTCTTGCGGCCATTTAAAAGGTTTTTCGATAAATCTTGTCATCGCCATTACAGCAAAACTGCTCATCGGATTTTCTCCAAATTCACACACATGATAGAAGATATCAAGCTCTAGAGCTGATTAACTTTTGGGTGGCCATCTTGTTTTCTGGTGGCTATTTTTAAGGTTTTTTGATAGTGTGATCTCGTTTACGCCATGTGCCTTGTTGACATTTAGTATGGCAAAGGACCCAAATTTTAGGATCTGTTATGAGAATGTGGTATGGGAATGGTCATGGAAAATATGTTACCTCACACTAGTGGTATGGCATGGGTCTGGGAGTTACACATATCCTTAATTTGAAGTTGTCTTGGGACGGTTTCTTCAAAGTTCACCTTCTTCCTGGGACATTCATCAGTTTAAATATTAGCTTTTCTACTGGGAAATATTCTACTTTTGACCAAGCAGAGAATTGGTATGGCATTGGTCCTATATTTAACATTTGGTATGGCATTGGTCTTATTTTAGACATATGGTATGGCTTTTGGGTGTTATATTGGTTGGTATGGTGGTACAAAAAATGTGAAGCAAATGCTTGACATATACACAAATATACAGAGTTCACATGAAAAGTCCGCTCAGAATGCTTTGGCGTTTTGTCTCAATCAATCAGTTTTAGTATTTTGGTGCTTTGAATTCATAGGTAGATACACAACTGTAATTTTTCTCCTGTATATTAATTTATTTAAATATGTTTGATGGTGAAATCAGCAAATACTTGACTGATTAATACCATTAGTTTAAAAGCTATAGTTATTCAGTTATTGAAATAATTTTATGTCATGTTGCCATTTCTCCTTCAATCAAGTATGTAAATTTATAAAATGTTATTACTATTTGCCTTTAGTTTTTTATTTCATTAAATTGTCATATTTAATTGATTATTTGTTATTAGATATTATTGTATTGCTTTTAACTTCTGACAGCGCCTTGTGCACATAACATTTGCTTCTCCATCTTCAGCTACAATTTCACAACATCGCCGATGTAGGAACTTAAAGGGATCACACTCTCTGCCTTTCCTGCCATCATCACATATTTTAGAGACTCTTGTTGGACCTACACTAGCAAGATGTCCACCTCTGATGCATCTTGACCTTTCACGCAGATCAATATCTAATTTAGTACACTCGTCAAAACATGCTAAAAAAGAAGCAAATATATTTTGTATGTCACCACCACAAGTGTTATAGTCTTCAACTTTTTGTGGATGGTGTTCGACAGTCAGTGGTTGGTGTTTGGCAGTCAGTGGTTGGTGTTTGGTAGTCAGTGGTCTGCATCTGTAACAAATGGCATGTAGTGACATTTTGTTTGTTAATGCCTTGTGATTAATTTGGTGAATACAATGTGATGATTTGAAACTCATCTTCCAGTTCTCTTTATTTTGATTGTCAACTTGGATTCTCAAGGTATCGAGTTTTCATACTGTATGTACAAGATCAAAATACACCAATGGTTCCAAGATTTGAAAAGTCAAATTAACAAAATTAATCTGTCAGTTTTTGAGCAATTTCTTACAAGACTTCCTATACCAATCTAGGTCCTGCCTTCCCCTCCAGGCCCATACCCCATGTCATAGTGTTCGAGCAATCCCCCTCCCCCTGGCAAAAATTTCTTTCAAAATCGTGCAGTTTTCACCATTTTGAGCATCTTTCAAGTGATTTTGGCCAAAGTTGTCTGAAGTGAAACCCTGGATCCTGGCTACGTGCCTGCCCTCAAAGAATTTTTGACAAAAATTGACCAGATTGTTTTCCAAGAAATATTGGGAAGTTTTTGTTGCCAACTTCAAGATTTGTCCTGATTAAACTCCAATGCAATGAGATTCTTACCGACTCCAATAATGGTACTGGTATCATTCTGCAACATTGAAAAGCAGCATTTATGTACTTCAGGCATTATATCACATTTATTGGGGTTGTCTGCCCAATGGGAAAATTCTTCATTGTTGAATTTAGGACACCTTACAGCTACATCCAGACGGCATAAGTTCTCTGAAAATTCTCTGTTAGCAGAACACCGATTATTAGCACAAAGCATATCTGTAAAATTCCTCCGTTGGGTCGTGACTTGTATTTTAAGTATACTTAGAATGAAGATGGTCTGCAGCCGGACTAACAAGCTCACCATCCTTTTGTTTTGTTTAGATTTTGTACGGATGTATATTTTTTATTAAGGTTCAACACAAAAATGATGTAATAAAATTAATATTTCATTTACGACGACAAATCAATATGCATAATACAAGGGCTAGATACCCATTACTTTATTAACATTAATGTTTAGAATAAAGCAAAATTCAATTTGAGGAAATTAATAAATGTTCAATAACTTTCTTTGGAGATGAGAGTGGGTCAATACCCATATGTTTATTGATTTGGTCCCTAATCATTGTAGGTAAACAAATGTAGGCTTTTGTACAATCATGTACATTGTACTGCAATTATTGTTGATTTATTTCTTTGTTTGATTACTTCATGGATAGTCTCTCCCTCATTCAGTCATTGCGATACACAAGTGCACTTTGTCTTGAACTTTCATTGTAAAATAGATAAACGTAATAGAGAAGTGGAGGTCTGGTGAATCAGCATGTCTCTTCCTCTGCAGAGCAACTTGTTCATGTTGAATAAAAATTAAAAAACAAATGAGAATAAATAGCAACTGCCCTCTTTTATTTTTCTCTATCTTTTATAAGCTATATGATTTCATAGTAATCCAGCCTATTACAATGCAAAAATGTGGCAGTATGGTCAAAGGCAGAGGCATACTTTGTGAATCACACTTGAACATTAAATGCACTTGTTTTCATTTTGAACATGATACAAATTACAAGTATGAATCAAAGTTACTTCTACTTGAATAGGTCATTGAATCGTTCAATTTTTCAATTACAGATTTCTGTTAGGTGGGGAATAGTGTAAGGCTCTGAATAAGAGAAATTCATGTGCTGATAAGACCAATGATCCAAAAGCTATTGCCGTGGCTTTTTAAAGTCATGGCCCTGATATGAAATAAATCCTGGGCACATATTGAAAGTAAAAATGTATAGTGATTACTAATTTGCTATATATTGGGCAGCTGGATTCTTATGACCATATTCTGATTGGATAAAAGTAAGGGTATATTATACTCAAATTGAAGAAATTTTAGAGTACATCACAATTGTGATATTGTTTTTCTGATTCGTACCTCGAAATTCAAAATGGCTGCCTAAAATGGGAATTGCTATAATTTTGAGATCTCTTTAAAGTAGGGTTAGAATTAATTACATTAGATTGATTTGTCTTTGTGCCTTTGATACACCTAAATGGTCACCCAAATACTTTTTGTGGAAATTCTGATATATCTTAAAAGTCTGTCTTATTTTCTGCAGATCAAGATTCAAGGGTAGAGTAGATGGTAAATACTTTATCAGACATAATACAGATTTATGAATATTTTGTTCATTGGGATTTTCTACTTGTGTAGCTGCCGTTTTCTTGTTTTCAATAAGCCTACTGTGCATATGTTTTTAAAAGAATGTTATGAGCTTGATAGCATTAGTTTAGCTTATGTAGCTACTCATGCCATGAAAATCATTAATGTACTTTGTCATGTTTATAACTATCCCTCATCGAATATGAAAATAGATAAAATTCCATTTCTGTTTGCTTATAATATTTTTTATTTCATTAAATTGTCATGTTTATTGTTAGTCATAAAATATTATTGTATTGCTTTTAATTTCTGACAGCGTCTTGTGCACACAACATTTGCTTCTCCATCTTCAGCTACAATTTCACAACATCGCCGATGTAGGAACTTAAAGGGATCACACTCTCTGCCTTTCCTGCCATCACCACATATTTTAGAGACTCTTGTTGGACCTACACTAGCAAGATGTCCGTCTCTGATGCATCTTGACCTTTCACGCAGATCAATATCTAATTTAGTACACTCGTCAAAACATGCTAAAAATGAAGCATCTCATATTGTACTTACTTTTCACTTAAAGCTAGAAAATATTTTGATCCTCTGTGTTGGGAATGGGAGAGTAGATTAATTATCTCAAGAACTTAACAGGATTTTTATTTTTTCACACTGCTAATGCCTTGGTCACATATGCTCAGATCCATTGGCCGGCGCCCGGCCAATTGAGTGTTTTGTTCAATATTGTATTAAATTTTGAACAAAATACTCAATCGGCTGGGCGCCGTTGTGAAAATCGGAGCAAATGTGACCAAGGCATAAGTCTAATTTATTAAATCCATCAAATTTATGTATCAATATAAAGTAAAAAAACACATTTTTCAAAAGTGCAATTTATATGTTGTAAAGCTGAACACTCATCAAATATATACTGTACTCCCACTAATATTTGACACTGATATTTCACGTTTTTTGGCATTTTGAAATTTCGCGGCTATCATGGCTATTATATTTCGCTAATTTTCAGTTTTTTGAAATTTGAAATCCGCGGATTTGTCATACAGGATCACTCTTTTGACTTTGATATCAGCCATGGTTGTTCCTTCACCCAATGATTTTGGCTTCTTATTAAGCCTTTTCGTTAGAATGTTCATTCTAATACAGTAATAACGATCTCTCTTCTAATTTCTCTTTTTCAAAACTCAAAATGTCACGTTTTTACCTATTATTGCCCAGCACTGGACGAAAATATTGACAACATTGAAATCCTCGGGAATTTCCTTGGAATTTCACGACTATCAAATTTTGTGAATTAAAACTGGAGGAATTTTGCGGCTATTATATTTCGCGAATTTTCCAAAACTCATGAAAAGCGTGAAATATAGTAACGCACGAAAATTAGCAGGAGTATAGTATATGGTATAGTCAGATGTATGTTTCACTCCTACTTCATGCATGGGAATATAATTTGAGGGTAGCCTTCACTTCTGTTTGAATAAAATGAAGAAAAACTAAATTGAAAAATGCTCTGATAATCATAGTCTAATTTATACCTTAATAATGTCACAATATGATGAATGCATCATAATATTTATACAGGTTTTCATTATGACCCTGGAAGTATCACAAAACTATTTTCTTGTTTTCACAACCTTTAATTTAACTTAACTAAGTTAACAGGACATTTTGGAATGCATCTGGAAGTATCATTGAGACCTAGGGTTATGGTATGGGTTCTTTTCATTTACAGGGAATCCTTTCATATTTTCACATGTTGTAGAGGAAGGTCTCAAGTTTTTGTTGGTACCATATATGCTTCTTAGTCTTGAAATTTGCAGAAATTTTAAACCCTAACCAAATATTACTGGAAATGGATAAAATGTGAACTTCTCAACATCCGCAATTTTTCAACACTTCAACAACCTTCCCCTGACAATTTTTTTAGTCACAGACTGAAATACCTAATATTTTCTGACTTTGTTTTGAATCCCACACATTAAGGTGTAAAAACTAGCATCCTACCTCCATTAGTTGCAAAGTTATTGTGATCCAAAGAAATGTTCTAAGTTTCCATAGACGAAAATATTTCCCAGTGAAATCAAAAAGTACCCCTATATGGCCTTAAAATGTCGAATATCTTCATTAAGCATGGACTAATTCCAATGGAATATGGCTAAAAATATTGAGTGTGTCAAACAGTGTCCCATTTATCATATGGTAGAGCTTTAAACTTATTTCTCTCACTGAAAGCTTTTTAAGATCATCCAGTGTGTTTCAACAATTTCCGTGAAACGCATTGGTAAAATTTTGCACAATATCTGATTTTCAGGCATGTTTGTTTAAGTCTTGGAATTTCTTCAAAATTCAAGACTGAGAATAAATGATCGCATCAACAAAAGATTTAGACCTTTCTCTACAAGATGTAGTAATATGAGCGAATTCATGCATGTATTACAGAAATTATAGCCTGTTGCAGGAGTTCACATTTTCTGAACCACCCTGTATATTATAAATGATGTTAAAATTTCTTCTCCAATATGGGGGATCTGGGGATTCACTGGCCTAGCCAATAAAAAGTTCCGAAATTGTTTTCCCAGCAATTGTGGTAAGGTTTCTTCAAGATTTGTCCTGATCTCACCCTCCAATTCAATGAGATATACCTTACCTACTCCTATAATGGTACTGGTATCATTCTGCAATATGGAAAAGCAGCATTTATGTACTTCAGGCATTTTATCACATTTATTGGTGTTTCCTGCCCAATGGGAAAATTCTCCATTGTTGAACCTAGGACACCTTACAGTTACATCCAGACGGCATAAGTTCTCTGAAAATTCTCTGTCACCAGAACACCGATTACTAGCACAAAGCATATCTGTTAAACTCCTCCGTTGGGTCGTGACTTGTATTCTAAATACACTAAGAATGAAGATGGTCTGCAGCCGGACAAACAAGCTCATCATCCTTTTGTTTTGTTCAGTAGAATTAATTTAGCTGTATATTTTATTCAGGCTCAATACAAAATGATATAAAATTAATACTTTATTCACTAAGAAATCAATATGGATATGGCAAGAACGAGGTTAATATATCAAATGGGGAATGGGGATTGACGCCCATTACTTTTATTACATTATTATTTTATTATGTAGCTTCCATTAATATTGAGAATAAAGCAAAATTCAATTTGAAATAATTTGTATGTTCCTTTCTTTTCGGATAGGAAGGGTCAATCAGGCGCATTTATGAATTTACATCAGTGTAATACTGACTTGGTCCCTAACCATTGTGGGTAAACAAATGTAGGCTTTTGACCTGCTTTTAATATACAATCATGTACATTGTCATTGATTGTACTACAATGGGGAATGACTAGTTGATTTATTTCTTTGTTGGATTATTAGGATTCATGGTCTCTTGCTCATTGCGATACATAGTTGCACTTTGTCTTGAACTTTCATAGTAAAATAGATAGATAAACCTTAGATAAGGAGGGGTCTGGTAAAAGAAGAACAAACAGCACAAGTGATCATGCATAAGTATAACCTATATAACATAAAAGAATAATTTAATATGATCAGTAGAATAAGCTCATCATGAAATTATTATGTAAACATTCAACATTTTGGAAATTTTATAGATGAATCTAAGTATTCTTTAAAACCTGGGAATCCAATTTAGAAACACTTGAAATGATACAGAATTGTTAAAAATTGCAGAACTTATGATATCTTGATGACAAAAGAGCCAATTTTCCAAAACAAGGCAAAAGTAGGAGTTGGAACTAATGGTGTAAATGACCAGTATGGAAATCATATAATTATATAGATATGAGTACTAGTTCAGACCAATGATACTGCTCATTTTTCAAAAACAATTGTTGAAAATTGAAGGATGGTCAGATCAGATGCATACGTGATAGTTCCATAGGCCCACTGTTTGAACCAAAATACTAGATTCTCATACAGATGCAAAGTGCATTTTATTATACTGTTAGACCTGCTCCATTTAGAGATTGAAAAAAGGAAAAATAAAACTGAAGTTTATTGTTCTTAATAACCTTTTTATAGGCTTTATATATTATTGGAAAAACATTTTTTCTTAGATGATTTTATAATTGTGACCTTTCATTTTATTGTTATTTTTTGTTTATAATGCAATTATAAATGCACGTTTTCTACATTCATTCCATATTTAATAGCCTATTGTTGATACACCTGTTTATTGCAATTGTTGCAAAGCAAAGCAAAGCAAAGCAATGGCACTATATCTGTACCTGAAACTCCTGAAACCAATTGAAGACCAATAGCCACACTACCCGCTGTCGGACTAAAGAGGATTTGAAATAAATTTTTGTTGACCAATCTAAATTTGAAAAAATTCAAAATGTTAATGCCAAAATAAAAAAAAAAGTATAGTTTTTTTTGGCCTTCTCAATAAATGTTTCATTTCAATATTTCTTATCTAGATAAACATGATTCTAGCAATACTGGGCGGGCCTGTAGCCCCTGACTTTCAAATATCAAATCTAGTTTGGTTGCATTTCTACAGGAAAGGTTATATTCATGGAACAATGCGAATTATTTGACAGTAGAGTCATTTGTAAATGTCCTAGACTCATACATGGATTCATCATCATCTTGAGTGTGTAAGTAGAAACTGTCACTATTTGACTGGCCTGTTATGTCACTATTTGAATGGCCTGTTATGTCACTATTTGACTGGCCTGTTATGTCTCTATTTATCTCTTCTGTTGGTGTCTCAACATAGTCAGTGAGCAAGCTTCGCTGCAGGTCAAATGCTGTGTTATATCTACCATCATACATTGTCAATGGACATTCCCTATCCAGCATGTCATCATTATCAATTGCACTTTGTGGACTGCTTATGTCATTTGGAGGACTAACTGACCTTGCACCAATTACACTGTCAGGTGCCGCCATCTTATGGCCAGACCTGGGACTATAATCCTCTGAATTAGGCTCATCTGTTTTGGAAGAATCTTTATTAATTTGATTCCATATTCCAGACGGGCTGTTCATGTAAGTTGCCTTTTGAGCAAATGTTGCATTATGGGGAAAATCCTCCTCTGCCTGCCAAGAGAGGAATCCTCGTGTTTTAGAGTCTGCGGGATTTATATACTGTATGTGGTGTTCTGTGGGAGAGGGTTTTGTGAGACTGCTCTGTTGTACTGGCAAAGTGGACTGAAATATCATTTAGAGAACATTAAATTCTCACTGATATAGATTCGGTAGAAATGATTAGTTATATCAAAACATAAACTAATTCTTTGAGTGGTTCTGGATTGCTTTTAATTCAAATTTCCAAAAGATTCTTTAAAATGCAACTTTAATATATCAGCATAACAACCTGTCGCATTTAAATGTTGTGGCTTATTTTTTATACACTAGCTATAATGGGCACTGCATGCTGATATCAGTTGATCAAACAAAGTATTGATGGGATCATTAACTATTGTCATGTTCGGTATGAATACAATTGTAAACATCTATGCTATTAATACAAGTACATGCATTAAATGCAACTCATTGAATGCAGTGTATGGTAATTGCTTGCTCTATAATAAAACTGAAATTACTCTATGCAAAGCAGCTACTGGTTTTGAGTGAATTGTTACAAGATGAAAAATGATAAAGCAAGGATGAATATATTAGTACATGTACTTGATGATCGAAATGGCCACCTTATTTATTACCCAGCATTCCCAAAACCCAACCAGATCTCTGGGCACTGGTCTGCTTTCAAGGTTCCACACAATTTCAGATACTGGCGCATTAGACAATTTTTCACTTTTCAAGTGTGAAACTGTAGATTGGGTTAATTTGGCGCCCGCCAAAATGGCAAAATCGCCAAATTAAGTAGCGCCAAATTAACCCAATCTACAGTTATCTTGATATTTACCTGTGTACTATTTGCACTCACTCCCATAAACAAAGCTGAGGTCAATGCCTTCTTTTTGTCTATATCTTCAGGGACTGGCTGCTTTGGAGAGGTTCCCTCAACTCTTGACTGTAAAACAATCCATTTTGTTTTAGTTATGAGATACTACATTTATTTGTTGTCTATAGCATTAATTATAATATTTAATGTTATATATTCCTTGCAAATACATGTATGATGGTATATTTCTATTTACTTTTAAAATATTGTAAGTCCATCTAACATCGGTTTTCAAGTCACCACCAGAAGTGGTGACATATTTTATAGTCTTAAACATTTTTGTGGATGATGTTTGGTGGTTGGTGTTCAGCATACAGTGGTTGATGTTCAGTGTTTGGCATTCAGTGGTTGGTGTCTGTAAAAAATGGCAGCTTGTTGCCATTTTGTATGTTATTGCCTTGTCCTATATATTACTGAAGGTTTGAATTCAGTAAACAATAACATATAAATCTTGCAGTGTATTGGATTTATTGTCAGTAAAACAGTTCAGTGGATATACATACTTTAGTCCTTGTTGTATTTGATCTAGTTGTGTTTGATATTGATTGGGATGAGTTAGTCTCTGTCTGCTGTGTTGTATCAGATTTTGTTCCTTCTTTGCTCCAGATGCTTTTCACTCCCTTCAAATTCAGCACGGGTTCTCTATATAAATAATAAATAAATGATACAATATATTTATAGAATATATAACTCGAATATTTATCCCACAATTATTGTGTTGCATATCCGAATAATAAAATAATTTATTTTTTATAAAATGAACTTTTTTATCTGATTTTGGGATAAACCCTTTATCAGATCAATGATATTTCTCAAAATGATCTGATATACCGGTAAGCATTGATAGTTTCAAAGGATTAAATAAGTTTTAGAGTTATTTTTCAATTTGGACATACAATTTTGAACTGCGTGAACATTAAAATACATTAAATTTAATGTCATACTCATACTCACTCTGGCTTAGCAATAAATCCACTGTCTGAGTCTGAGTTAGTAGATGTTATAGATGTCGCTCCTAGTCTGTACATAGATGGTGTAGAGATGCTTCTAGCTGACCCACTGTCATTGTAGGGTTTGAAATTCAACCCAGAGAATATTGATTCACTCATTTTACCTAAAAGTAGATATATAGAGATTATCATATATAAGATTCAGGATATTGGGATTATCCCGAGGGAAATATAATATATCTGCTCGAAGGCTGTAGCCGATGGTAGAAATATTATATTGGCCGAGGCTTTATGTACCTGAAACATGTCAAGTATGGGATAAATGCTTGTATATTATTGGTAACCGATTGGTTGCTCATATATTGGTTTTTGAGAAATATCATTGAATCTAATGGTGTATAACACATTGCAGAATTCAGCTTCCATAGCAGTGACATCTGAATTAATTCCTTGTTCAATTGAATGGATTTACCATTTACCACCAATCACACAGATCTTTTCTAATCACGATGACATCAACTCCGTATTTCAACACATTTCAACAGCCATTTATGAAATGTGATAAAGGAGACAATTATGAAAATAGATATAAGAATAAAAAAACTCATATTTTCCTCTTGTTGATTTTCACTTGTTACTCAAGACAGTTGTAGCTTTTATCAAATTCAAATAAAGCATGTACCCTTGCAAGAAATTGTTAATTAGAAACAACTTTTTGACAAAAGTACCTGCCCTTTAAAAAATTATTTGTTGGGGAAGAGTCTTACTTGGTGACTTTGAAGTTCTGCTATGAATGTTTGTTGTATTGTTATAAGGCAAGGCACCTTTCTCTAAACAATCACTGACATAGTCATCAAGGAAGCTCAATGTATAATCCATCTAGAAGAATAAAATATGTACAAATGTACTAGTACTTTGATAGCAATTAATCAAAATGAAGTTAATGTTGTACATTATTGTATTATAACGCAGATACCATGCTTATTCAAATACATGTATTGGAATGTTAAAATGTTAATTACCTCATCTACATTGGTTTCCATAGCAACCATAGTTGCTACCGCAGAGGGACACTGACACAGCATATGTAGTTCTTTCATGGCCTAGAATGAGAAATGTATGTGCCTTAAGCACAAAATGATGTTAAAAGTTCATAATATGGATTTAATTTCATAATAATTTAATATTTAAGATCATTGTATAAAATTATTCCAGGGTCAAATATATTGCACATATTATATGTAATAACTTTATTCACATAAATGAGCTGATAACATGTGCAAACTATGAGTAGTACTCTGTAAATTAAGTTCATTTCACTTCATGTTTCAATTGCTAAAATGTGCTTCATGGGTCATGGTATCTGGTATAGCTTTTTCAATAGGAACTTTGAGTTTTTAAAAAAAAAATTGTTCTTTTGAATGCCATATTGCACTTCTGTGTACAATTTTCAATAGGAATTCGATTTTCAAAAATACTATGCTTTTTGAAAAAGGTCAAGATAAATCCGAATTGTTATAAAAGTTGATTTACTCTTTTAAGGATCTGACTATAGTTACTGTTGCCATCTATTTACCATTTATATTAACAGGGACAAAATTCTAAAATAAACAATCCATCACAACACATAACACTCTAATAATTCAGAATTTGTGAAAATTGGATTAACAGTATTTTTTATGTCTGGTTTCAGGGCATACATGTACCTGTTTCACAGAGGGTCTACAATCCTTCAACAGCTCTTCTGATACCAAACCACTCACTATTGCAACAGTGTCTTCATGACGGAGCACCAGCTTGATAATTGCAGACAGAATATAAACAACAGTGTCTTCCTGGTTGGTGGGAAGAACATGCCTCCAGAGAAGTCCAATGAGAGAAGAGACTTTTATAGTATTGTTAATACCACTGTATTCCCCAAGTACCTGAGAGGAATAACAGATTATAAAGCTTTACAATAAGGTGCTATAAGGAATGTCAATATGTCATCTGACAAGACAATGACAGAGGGGTAAATGCCCACTTTTGTGAGACTAAAAATTGAAATTGAATTGAAGGGGAGGATTATATTCTGTCCCATTAATTTCACTGAAGAACATTGATTTTGACATCGTCTCAAAAGCATGACTGGTGTTATTAAAGAACAAAGACTCAAAACTAGCATTAAATTGTGTGTCATAAGAGAACAGCCTAAGAGAAATAACAAAGGCAAAATTTGACATCCTTATGACATATGTAAAATTCACATATTCTATGTTATACTGCAACCTGGTAAATTATATTAAAAGTTTGCTCAGGGCCATTTCATTTTTTGGGGGATTTTTAAAGATTACTATATATTTATGTAAAAAACATTCATATTTACACTTTTTCATTATCATTAGCTTGATGAATAAAGAAAACAACAGTGAAATTAACCAAGCTAACAGTTACTTAGTAAGTTGAGAGAAACGGTTGTATCCTAAAAATGTAACATAATTTTTTTTCTATGTCACAAAATATCAATTTCACGCTTAAATATTAATTCTACAATTTACAATTTAATCTGTATTTGAACAAATTATTAAATTATTAGTAATGTTATATAATACTCGAGAATAAATTATTAGTATTTGTAAAATCATATTTTTCTGTTAGATTGAGCGCATCTAATTGTCCTACTAAAAAAAATTAAATCCCTCCCCTCCTCCCTCCCCCAAATGCAACACTACATCATTGTTTGTGAAGGGCTTCAACTCACCCATGCTGCCAGCTGGAGTATTGCAGGTGAAACATGGGTATCTTGTATTAGTTCTATATAGGCCCCTATTGCATACAGATGAACCTCCTGGTTGGCTAAAAAATATAAGAATGGATGTTTCTAACAAACTTCTAATATACCAAAAGGATAACTTCACAAAGTGGTTCAGCTGTATCGCCTGAAGATCCACATTAAGGACCTTTTAAATATTAAATTCTTTTGAAGTAAAGTTGATGCTACCCCATTAAATGAAAGAATATTAGCAGATGAATTATGTAATTAAGGAGCAGGATTTTAATCCTAAATAACAAGGCATTAACATGCAAAATGTCACCACCTGCCATGTGTTACAGATACTGACCACCAACCATTAAACTCCGAACACCAACTGCCAAACAGCAAATTTAAATACTTCGAATATCCGAATTTGAATTCAAATTAAGAAAAATACCATATTATGGGATGCATGTGTTAAAATGTGTGCTTAAAATTAAGGGTATGAAAAAAAAAATCGCTCTTACCTGCAATGAGCTTGCTGATAATATTCTGCAAACATTGTGATGAGCCACTGTTTGGCACAGCAGTAAGGACACTATTCATAGTCTGAATATACCACTCCATAGTCGGAGCATGTCTTCATCAGTTAAGGAAACATAACAATAGGAAATAGATAACAGCATTAGCAAATTCAGTCAAACAGTCAATTGGCTGCCATTTTTAGGAAATGGCTGCCAACTAGCCAAACTGTTATTATTAGACAGTGTTATATGCTTTTAAGTATTCACATATGATGAAATATTTTTAAAAATTGCTCCACCATATCATAGTGCTATAAATTGATGACCATTACATTATACTAATTCACATTATAATTAACCATTTTAGATCTTTTGTCATTAATGTTTTCCAAAACTGGCAGTGTAGACAAACCTTTTCATTTGAAATTTTGTCAAGTTTATCCGTTGTCTTTTTTATAAGTTCAACATGAAAGGATACTTTTCAGCTAATGTCATAACTTTGTTGGCCACATTTTGTTTGATGGTTTCATCCTGGGTTGAGAAATGTTCCATCAATTTACTGCAAATCACTCTCACATTATGGGGGTTACCTATCCTGTAGAGCAGCTCTAAGGTCTACAATGCAACATATTTGAGTATGACAATCACATAATTTCTGATATACTAGATCTTAGTCATTGCTCAATAACGCTATAGAAACAAGGCATTAACATGCAAAATGTCACTACCTGCCATTTGTTACAGACACCAAACACCAATCGCTGAATACAAACTGCCAAATGCTGAACATCTGACATTTATGTTTTTACACGGAGGCAGGTCTGGTAGTTGACTAGGGTGAAGCCCAAGCAAAAAAAACCCATTATTATCATGAAATCATGAAAAAGTGTTCGTAAAACCAAAAATCCAATGTAAACATTATCTATAAACCTCAGACATGAATCAATGCATTTTCTTCTTTTTAGACAATGAACAGGAATTAAAAAAAATAAATCAAGGCTATAAGCTAATGATAGGAGAAAAAATAAACCAGAAAAAACTTAACCCAGTGAAGCCCCAGAGAGGGAAACACAAGGTAATCTGTTAAAAGATGGTCATACCTGCTTGCATATATTGCTATCTGGATCATCTAGACATTCTATAACAATATCCTGGTTTTCTACGGCAAATGTGGGCTTGATACGTACTATAGAAGTAAGCCCCCGCAGACCTGGAAGAATGTCATATAAAATTTTGTCAAAAAGATTTTGTCAAAAATTTTAAGGCAGTGACTTTTGAATCATAGGTTTCCATGTAATACCATGCAAAACTGCTGGTAATCATTTCTAGTAGGCCAACTTTAATTTTGCAGACATTCTTCTCATAGTTCTTTGGTGCAATTTATATACATGGTCAAATTGCTCTACTCAGTCTAGATTATTTCACTTGTTTTGAACATGTGGTCTTCTATTCTTTAATAAAAAGTGTTTTGGTTGGTCATACAGCAGACAACAGGCAAAAGAAAAACTTGTTGGTAAAATTGATGGCGGCAGACTGGTATGGCTTAACATACATATATTCAGATCGAATTAGTCACTGATTTTAATTTCACTCCAATTTCAAAGTATATGGCAAAATTATGTTGAAATCATTTTGACAGTGATGGGGAAGTACATTGAGGATATACAGTACATAATTACCTGTCTTAATATAATACATACCTAAGAATTTAAGGTTGTTGTTCTTGGCCCTGATGAACTTGGTGATGCATTTGGAGGCCAGGTTCACAAGGTGGTCATTGGGATATATACAGGTTATTGTCTCCAAGCATTCATAGATCACAGCTACAATATAATAAGAAAGGCATTACATACAAAATGTCACAACATACCATTTGTTAAAGACACTAACGTAAAATATTGGAACGTTTGAGTTAGATCACAAATACATGTTTACATATGCACATTACTCTGCATAAAATTACAATACAGCATAGTAAGAACTCATAAACAGCACAGTTACATTACAAACATAATTTTTAGCACATACAAAACAAATGAACAATAACAAATCATAAAATACCAGAATACAAGTTGTAGAAAATTTACGTAATATTGGTACAATGTGCAGTTACACATACCTAGTCCTATCTTGTGTGATGCTTCAGTTCGTTTCAGCACCTCATTCAATATTGCATACATCTCTTCACTAGATCTGAAAAATTATAATAATTAAAGCCCTAGCCCTTTATATATATTATCAGGAATGGTGCATTTTTCGCTGGAGAATTTGTGGCATTAACATGACAAAATTTCACCACCACCTACAATATTATGAGTTCAATCCTAAGTATAATTTTATGTAACCTTTTTTTGACCCCGAGAAGGTCATTGAAGGTGAAATCTCAAATCTTAAGTCAGATTTGAACTTCTAAGAACTTGAAGAAAGATGAAAAAAGACCTTTTGACCTTGAGAAGGTCATTGAAGAAAAAATATTTTTTGACCTTGAGAATGTCATTAAAGGTCAAATCTATAGCCAGATTTGAACTTTTGAGAATTTATAGATGATTTTGAAAAAAAAAATTGGTCAATTTGTAACAAGTTGAAAAAAGGACCTTTTTGACCTTTTTTTACCTTGAAAAGGTCAGTGAAGGTCAAATCTAAAGTCACATTTGAGCTTCTGATAACTTGTAGATAGGCCTAATCTTGAAAAGATTTGAAGCAAGTTGAAAAAAGACCTTTTTTTGAGCTTGAAAGGGTCAATTAAGGTCAATTAAGGCCCCATATAAAGTTTGTAGTCTTACCCAATGTTATCAAAGTGTGATATGTGAAACTTTTTTTTTAAATTTCAAAAAGTGGTTTTTGATAGACTTTTTGTTCCAAAATTTGTGAATTTATTTAAAACCAACTTTTAGAGGTCACTCATATCTTCTAATTAGTCACAATTCATACCAATGCATAGCATTCATCCTCCCGTGTTTTTTGCCGAAAAAATTAAGAAAATCGGTTCATAAATAAGCGAGAAATGAACTTATCAGTGCATGAAAATGGTTCTGAGAAAAATGCATTTCAAAATTTTAGTTCTCATAGAAACCAATGGTACAATGATATCCAAAACATAATTTATTCTTCCTTTTAACCTGGTTAGACAATCAACATTATTTTTTATGAAAGTCTAACATATTTAGAAAAGATTGACATCGAAAAAAAAATTTCAATTTTTTTCAAAAAGTTTTTGGTACCTTAGTGACATCACTAATGTTTCAAAATATTTTTGATATGCTAAAACATTGAAGTGGCCCATTAAATATGGCATCTTATTATTGAAATAGTGTGTCCTTTGTTCAACCTTTGCATTGGTGTTAAAAATATAATCTTTTTTGAAATGCATTAAGAAATATTTGATGATTAAGAAATTTGAATATTTGAGAAATGAAATGCTCACAACTTTTTTTTCAAAAAAAATTTTTTGTTCAAAAATCTCTAAAATCACTTTTTAAGTCCTGACAAATAGTAAATGAATGATAAAAAAATATTTTCAAACTTTAGACGGGGACTTTAAATGTAAAGTCAGATTTGTACTTCTGAAAACTTGTAAATGATTTTGAAAAAAATTGAAGTCAGTCTAAACAGTATTTGTTAAGTTATTGGAAGTTGAAAGAATTTGTTACAGACGCCAATCGCCATCCGCCGTAAAAAAAATGGAGACCATAGCAATATGTCACCACTTTTTGGTGGTGACATAAAAAATATAGGCAATGAAACATTAAATAGGTGCTAAATAACTCAGTAAAATCAAGTACTGTTCATTGCTTTGATTTGACAGCTGTTTTAATTTGGCAGATTGATAAAACTCGTCAAATTAAGTGTCCGCCAATTTTACAAAAAAAAAATTCTGGGAATCTAGACTCCCTACTGGTTCAGACAAAACAAACTACATACCAGGAGGGATAAAATTGTGTTATTGTAAAGTGAGTTGCACAATTGATGATGGTCCATCCGCCAAATTAAACACCAGCCAGAATTTCAAAGTTTGCCCAATCCACCCAATCAAATAATGCCAAATTAAAGCAATTTACAGTAAGTTGATCTGACCCCTTTAGAGAGAGAGAACTTTTTGTTACAACTTACTCTTTGTTATTAGCACCAAGTAAGGCAAGAACTTTGAGTAGTTGAATCTGCAGCCAGGGTGCAGGGACACTGTGGTAGTCCCACTCAGGGGGAAGTTTGCGCTCTACTACTTGTCTCAGGATGCTCACCAGGCCAGATACTATGTCACGATAGCTTTCTATGTCACTCTGAAGATGGTACATAAATTAAAGTATTCTACTTTAACATTTTCTGTCTCAATATCGTTTAGACCTGGTTGAAAATCAACAATAGGGTTATATCATATTATTATATTAGATGCATCAAGAAGATAAAAATAAATGGTGTGTTTCAGGGTCAGTAAATTGCAGTCACAAAAATCCTGTGTATATATTTATATTATTTAATAATAAAGTGTTTGCTCGCTACCTTAATGAGATCATGATATATTTGTAAAGCAGCCCACATGACGCTAGGATCTTTATCACAAAGGGCTTTCTTAAACTTTCCATGAATATGCTGCACCTGGTTCGGGGCCTTACTGAGAAACTTGTGCAAACACATTACAGCTTTCTTACGTACTAAGGCCCTGGAATAACAAAATTTAAATACATGTACCGGTATGTCAAAATATTCATTTTTCAGTTCTTTGTCACCTCTAATAAGCACAGTAAAACCTGATCTATGTGAATGCTGCAGATAGTTAAGTGTTTATATAATTCACTCTTGAATTATTGGACATTCAGAAACATTTATCCCTTGTATAACTGAACAAGGTATTATCATCAGAATGTCACCACCTGGCATTTGTTACAGATGCTGACTGCCAAATGCCGAACACTAATTACTCAACACCAACCATCGAACACCATCCACAGAAATGTTGGAGACTATAACAATGTGTCACCACTTCTGGCTGTGACATAATAGATCACCACCAAAGTAATAAATTCTTACTTGGGGTGGTTTAGTTTGTCTTATACAATGGGCACTAAAACAATATTAATTCTTACTTAGGGTGGTTTAGTTTGTCTTCTACAAGTGGAAGAATAGGAGGAATCATTTCTGCATTGACTAGGCCACATATTGTGTTCAAGGCTATGGAGTTTTCCAGAACATTGCTGCTTCGAAGATCCTAGAAAATAAACATTGCAAAATTGTGCACATGTAAACAAAACACAAACTTGAATTTAATAATTAAGACCAGTGGATACTAAAGTTCAATATTAAATACATGTGCATACAAATCTGAGTTGAGTTGAGTCATTTCAGCCGTGATGCTATTATATAATTGTTTTTAGACATTTGGATAATGTTTCATTCTTTGAAAAGTTCTAGACATCTTACCTTCTGTATTGTATTGACTAGAAGAAGGACAAGTTCATGGTTTTCATGAAGTAATAGTCCACACATGAGGTAACCTAAAACATGTAAGTGTGTTCTGTACTTTATTCATGAGCTTCAAAAAAAGTTGAACAATGCACAATGTGAAAGTTTGAAAATATGTTTTTATCATTTCTTTACTATTTCTCATGACTTTGACAGTTAGAGATTTTTGGAAAAATTGAAAAAAACGTGCAGATGTTACTGACAACTTTGTTGCAAGTCAACATAAAATAGGAAAATCTGATTAATACCTGCCCATTTCTGTGACAGGCTTCCTTGTTGAGCTAATTTGACAGCATGGATGAAAGCAAATGAGATGTCATAACCCATCATATGACAGTAAAGGATTCTTACAAGGTATTCTTTCATCTGTCCCTGAAATACATGTATAGTAACTGAATAACTAGTAATCCTGAAATATTTGCATATAAGATCATGTTTTTGAGTTATTTCTTATGTACATTGTAAGAAGAAATTGATCTTGTCTTTCCAGTCAATGTTTCTTGCTACAACCCCAGTTTTATAAGCATTTAATTCCTGAAATCTGACTCGGTTCCAAGAGAAATCCACTTCCAATCTAGACCTTAATGATTAAGTGACATACAAGAAACAATAGAGTAATCATGTTTTAAGGAGTTACAACTGGTGAACAAAATTATCAAATTCAATTCCTTTAGTATTCCATTTTCGTAGAGCGAGGATGGAATTGGCCTACAGACACAGAATCATAAATTTTAATCAATTAATGGTAGCACTGTACAGTATACACCTAGTATTACCATATCTAACCCGAGAATTGGCCTTTAGGGGGGAGGGGTATTAATTCAATAGATAATGATGTAATGTACTTACAGGAGAGATTCCAGGCTGTGCCAAACGCTGTTTCAAAATTGAAACTTCTTTCTTCAGAAGTTGATCTTCCTCCTGAAATTTTTTTCCAAAAGTATATGGGTATAGAGATACAATGTATTTTGTTAATAGTACATGTATTTTTTTGAAAGCCCATTAGACTATCCCCATAGGCTTACTCGAGTCTCTGCCAAATTACTTGGTTAAAAGACATGGCATGTGGACCACTGTGCACTAGTGTTGTCGCGATGTGCCATAATCGTACATCGATGCATCGGCAATTTTCAGTAGTAAACATCGATGCACATCGCGATGTACATCGAGAAAAAGTCCGAGAAAAGTGCACTGAAATACCGAACGCTAATGCACTAAAATACCGAACATCCGGTACATCTGGGAACTTCTAGTAACGGTGAAATGAAAGTAAAGTAATTTTTTTAAATTATGGTTCATTTCGATTGGCTAAAACAGTTTTAAAGCGAAAGAATATCAGAAAACATTGGAAAATGAAATAAGACATGAGAAAGGTAAGCGATTTGCATCAAAATAAGATAAGAAAGGGTGATTTTTAGCAATTTTTTCTTTTAAAAAAAACATCGATGTTTTGTTTCAGACATCGATGCATCGCCAGAATCAGCTTTGGCGATGTATATCGCGATGTATCGATTAATCGCGACAACACTACTGTGCACTAGTGAAAACGTTTATTCTGGAGTAAAAAAAGTCTTAGATGTTATTCTAAAAATCGTAATGAGAATATTTCATCAATTAGAATTCAAACGGACACTGTCCTTTGTGAGATATTGCCTACGTTCATCTACACTTAAAATCATTTGGTCTGCCATTTATAAAAACATCTGTTGAGGTTGATTTTTATCTCGCTTTAGCGAAAAACAAAATGGCCATTTTTACCGAAGGATGTTTTTCAAAAGATTGCTCTTAGAAAAGACTAAATAAAAGCCGATGTAGATGGTCATCTGAACTAAGACTACATACTAAGTTCAATGAAGGTATGTTTATTAAATTTGACTTAATTTATAGCAACAGTCCACACGGGATAGCGTAAAAAGCAATAAAACAAACAGGGCTTGATGATAGTGTAAGGCCACACTGTGGCTGAAGAATAAGGTAACCATGAGCCACATGACCCCTACCTTTTTTCTAAGGGGTCATTGGGGCCGCTATTTAACGAGAGTGCCACAAAGAATTATTGAAGATCGTTCGACAATGCCCCGTGTCTGAGAATACCCCTACATGTATGTGTACTTTAGTTTACGTGTCTAAAGAAATGTCACCTAAATAGAGTCTTGGGTAAGCAATGTAAACATTGTGCTCATGCCAAAATTCTAATTTACAATTACATAAAACACACTCACATATTTGGTTTTCACTTCAGAAACCATTTTCACAAAGTTTTGGAAACTTTTGCTGGAAATATTTGAACTTCCAAGTCCCATTCTTCCTGTTAAAATACCAGGGAGTGATGAAATGGTTCTCTCCATAATTTCTGTCATCCTGACAATGAATCTGGTTAAATTTTGCCTCAGTTACTAGAGCGAAACTGTGGTAAATCGACATTTTGTCATGAAAAAATAATTTTTTGAGAAAGTGACAGCGACATTTTGAATGTTGCATTCTGGGGGACTGAAAATGATAACGACATTTTCATCAATTTTAAGACTATAAACCTGATGCAAAAAAGAATTTCAAAATGTTTGTGATATTCATGAGATGAAGATATGTTAACCCAATATCATTTTGTATTTTAACATTCAGAAAATCTATATTTTATGTCATCAGAAAGTGGACGTTCACGTTGTCTGTTCGTCGTAGAAAAATTTGATTTTTACCTTTTTATACATTTTTCTAGATACTTGCCATGATTTCAAATACAACACTTGGTATAGTAGCTGCTACAGGTCTAGCGTTTGTAGGCTACTGTGTTTACTTCGACAGAAAGAGGAGGAGTGATCCGCTATTCAAACAGAAACTCAGAGAAAGTAAGTCATTTTTCATCATCACCTCAGCATTTCTCTCTTTCAGACTGGCAATGACATCAGTCAGGTACCCATGTCATTTTTTAACGTTTGACCTGGAGTTATAGATCAGGAGGGGATTCTATCTAAGATTGACAAAATGTGAATCTAAATGTAAATGATTGAATACTTTGAATAAACCATACTCACAAGTCACAATTTCATAGGTCAACAGTATTAGATTACCATATTCTATGGCCACTGAGTGTGGCCATACAATATAAATAAGACACTCTTTGTTGTTTTGAATTTGCCTTAAATTGCCGAGCTGTCTTATTTTTATTGATGTAAACATAATAAACTAACCTTCATTGATCTTTACACGTAGTCTTATTTCATAAATTGGTCTACTTGGCAGGATATTTATTCACAAAATAAAACTGAAGGAAATTTTTACAACAAGCGGCCATCTTGACTAAATCGCTATAGCGGAAAAAAGGCATGCTTTCAAAATGGAGAACGAGACGACGTCTATTTTAAATGAAAACGTTCAATATCTCATCAACAAGATAAGCCGTTATCATTTCAATTCATGAAATATTAACAGAATGATTTTTAGAATATTACATAAATTCATTGAACGCCGGCTTAAGATTTTACAATAGTTCACGGTGTTCCAGATGGAAACACTTCTAGCCAAGAATTTGGCTAGAGACTCGAGTAAGTATTAGATAGCAGTGGGGTTTGTCAATTATGTCACCACCACAGTCAGCATAAGATGTCTGTATCAAATGACAGGTGGTGAAATTTTGCATGTTATGCCTTGTCTTATTATGTTAATGCCTTGTTTATGCTTTCTATCTCAAGAATACCATCAATATGAACAATTCCTGCCTTTAACATCATGCAATGCTATCATATCTCTAAAACCACTCAAAAGAGTCATTGTTACATGTATAAGATTTTGGAATTCATTTCAGTTGATCTCATTGTCACTTTTGCCATTATTTATGCAGGGAAATATTATTGATGTATAGTAATTATAAATGTTTTGCTACCAATCAGTGATCTTACATTAGCCAATAAAATAGAAGTTCATTTATAAGTCAACATGAAGATCTTGATATGATTATATGATAGGAGATTATCCCCCTTGCAGGGATTTACTTTCTGAGCTGTTAATGCATAACATTTTACACTCATGTCATGCAACATTTTACATGTATTACATGTATCTGTGCTTTGTAATATTTTGCTCTCTGTTGTGCAATATTTTACAGTTGTTATTGTTTTCAGGAAGGAGAAAGAATAACAAAGGTGGAAAAGGGAAGAGCTCTTCTAGTGGTGGAGTAAGTATCCAAGCAAACTTATCTGAATTGTAAAGGGGTTTTCAAATTTCAAATTTTCTCAATCATGATAACGTGTAATATGCACCATCAATAGCTCTGAAACTGACCTTTTTGTAAATATAAAAGCTTGAAAATGGTTGTTTCACAAGTAAAAATCAAAGGCAGATAAGCTTATTTTTAAACTTATACATACAATTATTTTAAAACTTGCATATTCATTTATTTTCATTTATAATGATGATGGTAAATGATTGTGAAGAAATTCAGGGTTAGAAATCAGCTACTAATGAAAACTGAGATACTTCAACCATTAATCTTTTGGCCATGGAAATGTTTTACCCTGATTTTGAAGAGAATAGTTACAAATAACCTGTCAGCAAAGAAGTCTACATTTTTGCATCACTTGTTTCATTGAAGTGTGTTGTTGTTTCAGACGTCCCAGTTCCCTGATTTGAGGGACACTGATGCTATGCAAAAATTCTTCTTGGAGGAAGTACAACTGGGAGAGCAACTTTTAGGAGAGGGTAAGATTTTACTTTTTATTTACATCGACTGAAAGTGGTAAAATGCTTTGCTACTCTTAAGCTGGCGAGTGAGATAGATTTAAAGATTGCCTGGAAGTGCAATAAATCCCGGGCATCATTTTGATGTTTTCTGTCTGATTCAGTTAGGGCAAAAATAGTGTACATACATACACACAAACACATTCAATACATATTTAATTTTACATTCAATACATATTTAATTGTACATTTCATGTATATTATTTGTACATGAATGTTATTTCAGGTGATATTGAAGGTGGGGTGGAACATTTGAGTAATGCTGTAGCAGTATGTGGACAACCCCAACACTTACTAAGTGTTCTCCAACAGACTTTACCTCCCCAGGTCTTCCAGCTCCTCATACAGAGACTCCCAGCAGTTTCACAGGTATAAACGAGCCTATTAAGCCTTTTTTCTTTCAAAAGTAAATCAGTTTTTCATATTACACTGTAGAATAAAGTCTAATTCTGTTCAATTGCTGCACATAAGCCACATAATCAAGATTCCAGCCAAACTTTTGATTTGTAAATTTTAACATCCAAAGTGTGTATAATTTTACTTAATTTTTTGAGGTTTTATGATGTCAGCTGATAATTTTATCATTCAAAATCAAATGTCATTACAAATTATACTTGATTATGTATGTATTCATTTCTTTTTTTGTTGTTATGTATTCAGAAAATAGTGGCAAGTGCAGGAGGGGGAGGAGTAGGACCAGCTGGAGCAGCCCCAATGGGAATGTCAGATGATATTGACTTGGAGTAGAACAATTTAGTATGGAGTGTTGACTTGGAGTAGAGCAATTCGGTATTGACATGACATGGAGGGCATAAACAGAACAATAAATCAATAGACAGTTTCTTTACAATTGCTAATATGAAAGTCCTGAACTGTGGAAATTAAAGTTGCAGACTTAAAATGAATTAGGTCTGTAAAGTCGTTACAGAAGGCCTGTATGTGATTTTAATCAAAAAGAATTGATAGTAAGTTTATCAGATTCAGTTTTCATTGAAAATCAGGTTTTGTAATTCAGAACATGGCAAAACAAAATTATGTAAAATTATCAAAATCAAAAATACAAATTAAATAATAAATATGCGTACAGCATCTTCATTTATCAAATGCATGTTTACATGTCTAATATTTGGAAAGACAGGCATACTATTTTTTTAATAAAACGTAATGTTGATTTTTTTAAATTAGTAATCGACATGTACTATTTTTTTCAAGGCCTGTCTGCGTCGCTAACATGCTAAATATAAGAGTTAGCTGACGTTTGGGAGTCTGACTTACCTTCTAAAGGTTAGAACCCGAATCTTAATGAAACCATATCACCTTTGTTCCGTCAACCATGGAGCATTTGCCACAACATCCAAGAGGTAAATCATGGATCGAGAAAATGAATGATTTCCTTGTAAGTTCCGGAAGTTTCAATACGAAAAATTACCGAACATATGTGAAAACCGAATATTTGTTCGTTGTTTTCACGATTTACAGGTTCGTTTGTTCTTCAATGTTTTGGTCTAAATTATAAAGCATCACCAACAGGTCTTTCTCTATTAATCGACTAATACAGCAGACGGCTCATATTTCTACGTAGCATTTCATTCAGACCAATAGTGGGAGTGTAGATCACGCAGTTTCGTTCGTTGCGTACTTCACTTGAAATTGGTAATTTTTAATATTGACTACTTCACTTAGCTTGGCGGATGTAGAACATTGCTTAATATTCTTTTAATTTTCACACCAGACATGCTTGGTTGACACGTCAACAAAGTAAAGTTCAAGGGTCAATGCGTTATTTCGTGATAACTACAACGCCTTCCCGGAAGTCAACATTGATGAAAAATGAAAAAGTCGGAAAAGCATTTACGCTAATTTCTATCAAATGCTATGTTTATGCATCATCATCGACCCAACAAAGGTGATATAGTTTCATTAAGATTCGGGTTCTAACCTTTAGAAGGTAAGTCAGACTCCCAAACGTCAGCTAACTCTTATATTTAGCATGTTAGCGACGCAGACAGGCCTTGAAAAAAATAGTAGATTGATTCTCATAACTTTGTACGATATTGTACATAGCATTCATTATTATCTTTATTTATGTGGCTAGTCTGAAAGTAAATAAAGTATGGAAAATTATTTTTAGTTGTTTGTACTTACTTAATGATGTTATTGTAACTATGTATAAGTAAATACATGTATGGTCAATAACCTTTTTATGTCACCACCACAAGTGATGATATATTGTAATGGTCTCCAACATTTTTGTGGATGGTGTTCAGCAGTTTGTGTTTGACAGTTGGCATTCAGTATCTGTAACAAATAGCAGGTGGTGACATTTTGCATGTTAAAGGGTTACGATAAGTTTCCTGTATAATAACAATATGATGGCTCCAGGCTAGTCAACCGGATTAGTCCATTTTTGAGAAATAAGGGGAGTTTTGTAAATTTCAGTTTATTGAAATCGTCTTGGAGATAAAATATTCCATTTACAAAGATTCTGTCAAGATTGAGTGAATTATCCGAAGGATGCGTGTGCATCAGCCAATATAAATCTTTGTATTCACACAAACTGCTTTGCTTCATTACAATATTGAGAGACTTATACACGTTGTGTGTATGTCATTTTGTTCCAATGAGGTTCGGATAGATGTTTCATTTAAATCCTAACGTATGATACTAAGAACAAAAGAAGTGTCTGATGTGTTTTCTAAAACAATATAGAGAAAGGTATATATATTTATTTCAAATTATATTGTTACCATTTAAAAGATAACCATTAAATTGACAATGTGTAAAATTTTCAGAATTGTTTGATGACTGGTTTAAGAGAAATGAGTGTTCAAAAAGTTCACAATATCAATACCCATCCTTTCACCCATAAAATCTCAAAAGAAAAATCTCCCCTTTTATAAATTGATTAATTACATTTTCAAGAGTATTTCATGATCTTATAGTCCCTTAAACTCATCCCCGTGGTTACAGGTATTGCCAAAATTCTTTTCAAATTTTTTTAACATTCCTTTATGTGTTGCCAGTAAAGATTTTGATGACCATACTGCCCTTGACTTCTAGATTCTTGACTCCTAGATTTATCCTTATACTTTCTGGAGAGCTATATATTCAAAAGACTCCAAAAATGACCATGAGTGTCAAATACTCAAGAAATGAAGCCAATTTTCTGACTGGGATACATGCCCGTAGCCAGATTTTGGGCCCAAAATTTTTTGTGAGACCCATTTTTTGTGGCCCACCATAGGTTTTTTGTTTGTAAAAATAAATTGGCGCTATCACATCATACATACATATAAATAATACATATGCACCAAATGTTACCTTCTTCATTGAAATCCTTCAAGAAGGCAAAAGGGTAAGTCCACATTTTTATGAGATATTGAGGGGCTCAATCAAGCCCCCCATGGCTATGGCTTGGGATCTTATGACCCCAAAGTAGTGGTCATGAATGCAAGTGAACATGGGTGGCTGAATTTTGATTGATTTTACCTGATTGGCAAGATCAAAGGATTCCCTGTTATTCCAAAAAAGTGCAGATGAAGCTCTCTTTTATAGATGCAAAAAGGGTACATTTGTACTTTTTCTCTTTTATTTTACTTCGTCTCTAGCTTGCAATGAGACATATCTGTATTGATATTCCTATCTATTTTGAATTGGAAATTGAATGTAACATAATGTACCTGCGAGAGATCTAATTACTGTACATCATGGATGAAAATATTCTACATCAAGCCTACATTTAAACACTCATTATGTCATTATAACACACAGCTAGGTACTTGTTCTTGCCCGTAGCCAGCTTCTACCAGGAGGGGGAGCTTTTTCCAGGGGGGGAGCTTTTTCACAATTTTGGCTAAAAATCATGGGAAAATTCTCAGAATGGTAAAAAACTGCATGATTTTGAAAGAATTTCTGGCCAGGAGGGGAGCTTCCGCTCCCCCAGCTCCCCCTCTGGCTACGGGCCTGTTGTTAACATTGAGTAACTTACACAAAATGTTAAAGTGAGTGCCTATAAAGTTCTAAACACCTATGATGAATTTCTTTCCAATACTCACCAATAGGTGGAAGCATGTCTTATTGATATTCTGTCACGTGACTTTCCTCCTTGCAGAAAGAATTTCAGGTTTGTAGAGTTTACTTATTATTTTGAAGAATGCAAGTTAACTGCTACTACTTTTGAAATATTAGTATTTGTAACACATGAATGAGTACACGAAGAAGTAGTATAGCGGAAATCACCAACGTAGCTTTTACAGTTTGATAGGCATCATCAAGAGGGAAATATATTTTCGTTTTTTCGTTTGAGAATCAATCAATGATAACAGATTTACAGATTTATCTTTTTTGTGTAATGTAGAAGTAGGCCTATATCGTTATATTTTTAAATTGTTATTGATATATTCAATATTCTGATTCATTTGACCATTAATTGACACATTACACCACAAACCTGGAAAAATGTAGAATATTGGAAATCGAGGAATCTTGTCTCAATCTTATCTCAACAGTAATCTACATGTAAAACTCAATTTCTGGGGGCATGCCCTAGACTATATCCTATTTAGTCTGAATTATATTCAGACTATAAGGCACCTATGTTAAAGTTTGGTAATGTGAAATATTTGTTTACATAGGAAGTGCTATTCAAAATGGCCGATTGGTAAAATTAATTTGCACATTTGTTACTTCAACTAGCTTTATTTCCACTTGACAATATGCTGTGTTACTCTTTATTGCATTTAATTGTACCTTACTATTTAATTGAAATTTTGTAATGTTTATTTTATTGAAGAAATGGTTCCTCTAATTGATAATTTTGTGCTAAAAATTTCACTGCAATTTCCACAGGAAAGTAGTATATCATAACAGACTGACTTCTAGTCAGTCTGTTGGATACATACTAGGCATGCCCCTAGACCCACTAGCTTGCACTGCAACGTTGACCCTTTATGTGGGTGTGCCAGGGGCACAACCCATATACGCAGAAGTCGCCTACTCCTCTTGGGAAATCCTTCATACGGGCCTGCCTCTATAGGGGTAAATATAGGCTGAGCCCGTTCATTAGGGGAGATCCGTCGAACTTCGACATATGAGATAACTTCGTCATGGGGCTATTTTGACCATTGCCGATAATCGGCAAATTTCCAGGGTTGGCCATTTTGGATTAAGATCTTGTCTGTTGGAGATTTCAATTTATTTTCAAAAAACAAACATGGCAGACTACGTAATTCAGAAATATAAGCTAATGTTGAAATAGCCCCCAATCAAAATAGCCCAATGACGAAATAGCCACATACGTCAAAGTTCGACGGATCTCCCCTAGTTCAATTGACTCTCCTTTCCATTTCTTCAGGTCTCTGTAATCACGATGATCACAGCATCACACCACGCCATTATAAATCTGGAGATACAGCAAATCTCTATCTGAAATTAGCAAAATTTTTTAGCTATAAAAGAATTAGGTTGCAATTTTCGATAGCCTAATGATGATAAGCTAATTAGGCAATAAATAATGTCCTGTTCTATATCACAGTTCTATATCATAAACCAGAATAATAACAGACAAAAGTGCCATATCATTAGAAGAAGCTAATTCTATTTTTCAATTTCTAGTTCATTATCTCAATTTCAAGGATTATATTTCAAGGTTTATACACAAACTGTAGTATGAAAATTGATTGCACATTTTTTTATTATCGCTAGGACAAGATCTCCATGCAGTTTATTGGCTGATGGTCAAGTGGCTATATTTTTAGGTCCAGTTTGGGAAGTATTCCTAAACAAAAATAATCATCTGCAGTATACAAACAAGACAAACTGTATAAGACAAATTAAATATAGACTTTGCTGGACCATGCCTTGTTTTCAATTTTGCTGTAATTTCAGAACTGGGAGGAAAATGTCTCAAAGTTATAGTCAACGTGTGGAAACACGTACTAACGCTGATGGGAGCCAGGTCAAGACAACAACAACCACTTACGGAGATGGCCGCGTAGAAACAAAAACTGAAACAATTGGAGGTGGTGGATCGTTCAATGGATTTTCCAGTGGTGGTGGTATGACCATCGTGAAGCCTCGTGCCTATGGAGGTGGCGGTGGAGGTGTAGGAGGTCGTGTTATTAAACCAACTCGGCCATCATCTCGCTACAGCAAGGGATGGGGAAGTGCCAATATCCGTCAACCTCCCAAGAACTCAACCCCTATGGAGCTTGAGGGGACAACATATAAGGAGATCAAGGCGCAATGTTTGAAAGAAGGACGCCTCTTTGAAGATCCTGATTTCCCTGCTGTAGATTCATCTATCTTCTACAGTAGAGCCCCTCCAAGACAGTTTGAGTGGAAACGACCAACTGTAAGTACAGTTAAATCAACATATAATTGTTTTCATTACAAGCATATATTGAATGTCAGAAAAAGCCAGGAAATGATTGATTTCTACATTCAAATCTACATTCTACAGTTGTTAACAATGATAAAAAACCTAAACAACATTTAACTTCAAAATTGAAAGAATGTAGACCTAATTTTTTTAGTGATCTAATAAATGCACCTTCATGATCCCACTTTGGTACTGAACATGATTTGGAAAGATTTAACCATGAAAATTAGGTTTGGTAAATTTTGGTAAATATGACAGCTAGCATGATAGGGTGAAGTAGAGAAAATACGACATGGGCTTAGTGAGGTTCTAATTATCCATGTTAAGTTAATCAGCTAATCAGCTTACTTGAGTAGAAACACTCTTGAAGGTATTAATCCTTAGCATACACCTAGAGTCTTGCATTAAGGCCTTGTGGTGACCCCTCCCTTAGACAACTCCCCTGCCCCTGTGACCTCCCTCCATCTAAACAAATCATCTTCACAAGTCTAGAGGTGAAATTAATGGGACAAGGGGTCGAGTGACTTAATGCAAACTTTGAGTACACCTATATTTAACTGTAGAAAGTGCATCAATATTACATCAATAATATACCTGCATCTTATTCTTATAATTCTAGATTCTGTAGGAATATTATGATTCTAAATAATGAGGGCCATTTGATTTTTAGAATTACATATATATCTGGTTGACATTTTGGAGTTACTTCATTCATAGTATTTGAGTAGGTGTTTGATTGCATTATATCAGTATGGTAAGATATAGCTTTGACTAGGAGTGAATCAAGACTTCAAATCTGCCTTCCTACTGTGTAAAACATATCTAGAATTTCTGATGATGTTTCGCCGGGATGGTATGTTTATAGGGCGAGGTCATAGGAGTCTTAAACAGGAGAACTGATAGTACAAACAAGAAGATAGTGTGTACACTGTAGCCGGAGTTTTATGAGCAAGTTCTGAGGCCAGATCATTGCATAGAAGATTTAAACCCAGTGTGTAGTTTATTGCAATCCTGGCACCATTAGATTGAAATATTACTCTCTTAGTGACCTTCTGTATCTTGGTTCTGCATATCTTAGAATCAAGGAATGTTTCTATGTAGAGTAGTTGAAGTGCTATGTTTTTTGCACATTGGCCTTGTTCTCATGGGATGTATTATGTGCTTGTAAATATTTCAAGTCCCTTGCGCTCCTCGGTTATCTCTGTAACAAAATAGATTGACCACAGTCCAGAGCCTTGAATACAAGACTATTTCTGCAGTCATTCCAAAAGCTCTTGGTTTTTAAGTTCTACAGTATATTGAAGGGCAAGTTCTGAACAATAAGTTACATTTCGGTTATGATTATGCATTTAGGATATAAAATTGGAAAAAACAATTACCGAATGGTATATGAACAGTAAATTATGCTACAATGCTAAAATTGGTTTCTAGTTACTGAACATTTCAGTAAATTGCAGGTTATTATTGTCATTTATGAAAAATGGTATGTTAGGTCAGACCCATGAACAATTATTGAGTATGAATGATTTTGACAGTAAGGAGCCCAAACTGTACCATTCATCTTAATGGTTTGTGTTGCATGTACTTGAAATTAAGAAATTTGGAAAATAGATACAGCATTTTGGATACGATATTTTCATTGTTGTTCTTTTTCCCAAAACATGAGCATGATGATGTTAGCCCATAAGATGATGAATGAGGTATTGAGTCTTCACAAACTGTTCACAAGCTGGCACATTGTAATGACGAATGTCTTGTAGTTCCAAGTTCATTTAGACCTAAATATCGAAAACAGATTCTTAAATGTGCTGTTGTATTCTATTACATCGTATTCTGCTACTGCTCATAACAGAAGAGGCACCAGACAACAGTGTTTTCAGACTTCAAAATTTATTGAGTTTATATGGAATGTCAAAATTCCCCTTTGTGAACATTTGCATTCTAAAATGGGCACCGATGTTTAGGTTGACCTATATTTTAAAGGAAAGTGGGTCAGTGGATGTACTTAGTAGCCTTTGCCAGTTCCACCTTTATCTTCTTTATTTATAAGATCTAAATATAGAAGATGAAACCTCCAACACCAAATTGGCATGAATTGCAAATTACATGTATATTACGTTTAGTATGGATCACTGATAATTAATGGATGCAGAGAATTTTCTGATTATACAGCATACTTCCCAATAGAGATTACCTGAATTACAAAGGCTTGTTATCGTGTTCTCTTATGTAATGTTTATGATCCTCACAGCCATGATAAGTTAAAATGAGGAAATCCATGAAATAAATAGACTAGATGCGAGTAAAAGTAATCTTGATTTACGTCATTTAATATTCAAAATTCAGTCAAAGTGATGTCATATTTGAAATCTACATGTAAAAGTACGTCTACAACTATGATTTCGAAAATTGTTTATCAACTTTGAAAATTAATTTTTTTTTGAAAGTGTGACTCCTCGCTCGGGTTGATTCCTCATAGACCCAAGGTTACAAAATCACAAAAAGTGGAATATCTTTTCTTATATTGGACAGATAACATTTTCTTTTATTGGACATATTTTAATTTGCATAACTATTAGATACATAAGGGTAATATGAAAATTGAACCACTAAAACAAATGTAATTTAATTTAAAGGGAACTTTCTGCTATACCCGCCATGTTATCTGACCCGAACGAGCCACCTGGTGGTGAAACTGGTAACTACCTACTCGCATCTGCGTTATTGATATAAGACTGATGTTTATAATTGGGAATCCTCTTTATCATATAATTATAAGCAAAAACTATAAAATAGGGGTTCATACTCCGGCCCCTAGGGTCCACATTTGATACGTTTTGCCCAAGACCACTTGGTGAAAAATTGCATGTTTTAGCTCGACCCGCCCAAGCCCCTGGCTACGGGCCTGATATTGCAGGAGTCCTTGACTACTGTGTGTCACTTCCAGACTGACTTGTTTACTTCTAGGATAAATCTGCATGGACACATTGAGCATGTTGTAGTTTCAGCTAAGTATTTGTGCATAAGGGTGTAGCCCAAATAACAGGCCTTATCCTCCAAGAATTCTGACTCAGACAGTCTTAACCTTACAAGATTCATTTTCCTCATTTAAATCTCTATGACATTTCATAATCTCATTGTTCAATATTCTTGACTTATATAAAACATTTAATATGTGAATGTCTAGATAATAAGGAAATAAGATCTTTTTCCTTGTTTTCTCATTAATGAAGAACATAGTCTCAAATGCTTATCATTGGAGTTTGATTCACAGTTCCTGGATTATGGACCAAGGGATATAAATAACTATATGATTAGATTCTACATGATTTTAGTTCGACTAGTATTTATCTTGATAAATCTATTTCTGTGTGGTATCTTTCTATTTATAATAATGTTTCTTTCATTTGGACTTTCTAAATCATATTTCTCAATTTCATGTTTTTATTTGCCATTTTTCTAGTTCTTATCATGTTTATTATTAAGAGAAATGCATTAAATATTACATGACAGTTTAGTATACAACTGTTTTAAGGTGATAATTCAATATTTTTCTAACTTGTTCACTTGAGTGTAGTGTGAAGTGAATGAACAATTATCCAAACATTTTTACAGATGTAACATGATTTTTTTTATCGAAGAATGTACATAGAAGTCAAGTAGGTCATTGTGATAATTAAAGAAAGATGTTTACTTAACTTGATAAGTTTGGGGTCACTTCACTTTGTTGACAAATCCTCCTTATATCATTGAATCAGCGAACATCTATCAATCAATCATATTATGATCAATAAAATTGGTGTCTTAATTGGCTTTTATCAATTGTATAGTTGCATCAGATTGTAAGAATCATAGTAATTATCATATACTTGGACTCGGAATAAAAATAACTGGATGATTCTTGAATATGAACTATAAAGTAAAGAAGTGCAGGTTTTTAGATGAAGTTTAATGTGATTCTTTATTTATATAATTGTGTGAATTTGTTTTTCTCTCCTTTTTGCAGAAAAAATTCAAATTCTAATTGTGTTTCATTGAGAAAGTATTAAATTCATAATGGATCCAATTTGAAGTATACCAGAGTTTGAAATTCACATTCATTCAGTGTGACACTAAATAGTAAATTGAAATTCTTGATGTTTATTCAAGATAATGCCTGTTCTTTAAATGGTTTGGGTCAATAAATATGTCTTTAGAATAGCAAACAAAAAGAATCAACTTTCAAAATTTTATTGGAAAATAAGTGTATAACTGTACCTTGGTCAGTCTTCATCTTTCAACGTGCAGTACATGAATGGTGGATAGATGGAGCCTCTTGTTGAGCTACAGGTCTGCTCTTCCAGCTGAGTGTCAGGCATGACCTTATGAAACAGTTCAAGAATACACATATAGCAGTTCATAACAAATTAGAGGATATGTTCAGTTTACAGGGCTGTACTAAAGGTTTTTTATAAAGTAGTCTAGTCTATAATAATAATATACTCCATCTCTCTGTAGGAGAGAATTGTTATTTTTGTTCATACTTACAGTCACCATTGGGCATTGAAGAGGCAGTATACAGTATGTGGACTTCTCCATTCAATCTTATCATATTTCACGATAATAACTGCAGCCGTATCAGCAACTTTTTTGTCTTCCTCACTAGGCTTGCTTTATTTTTGTCTTTACCTTTATCTAATTCTGCAGAAAGTATCATCTGGTCTGTAGCTACTTTGGTTCATCCTTGGCCCAAGAGTAATTCATTGCATTACATGATCTGCTATGAAAGCATTGAAGGACCGATCTTGAAGGATGACTTTGGTTTACTTGAGTCAAGTTGTCTGACTGAGTTTTTCAAAGTTAGTACTTTCAAATTCAATAAATTTTGGTGAACCTGTTGCATGTTGATCATATTCAGTGTCAGATTCCTCTCTTCTGTAATGCCTTGGTCACATTTGCTCTGATTTTCACAGTACCCCGGTCGATTGAGTATT